AGCTAGCTGAAGTGCAATCTGCATTGCAGCGGCAACAACAAGAAAGCAATTTCCGATCAATGCATATTATATTTGTTCAATGTTATCGGATTGCATATATGTTATAAAATGTGCACCTGGCTATTCTCCTCTCGTATATTTACCAAAAGGTTTTTTCGAAGGTGGTCCTTCTCCTCGTTGCTAATTCCACTACACCAAATAATTTAGGCTGGTGAGTGGGATGTCAGATTAAATCAACAGGTTGCAAAAATGTAAAGCAAATCAGAAGTTGTACTTCATAAATGCAGAGTTGGGATTATCATATCATATCCAAAGGGTGCATTTGCCCCGTGAAATAGGTGATCTAAAAGAAGAAGTAATTTGGTTCGATGGTAGCTTATGCTTCCTTTCGGAGGCTATCAGTTGCTGCTCCTTGAGTTTTAAGTTAGAATTGTCAATGACTCCAGCGGAAATGTGTCGCATCGAACAGAAAAGCAAAAGACAAACAAGTATGTGAAGTTGAATAGAATAGAATGGAGGCTCACTAGGAATCCCGGCGATGTCGCCAATAGCGACTGATGCTGTTCTTAAAATATACTGTGGCAAGCAGACGCACGTCTTCACGGCAAGCCAAACCCCTAGCTGAGATGATCTCCTGGAGAAAAATCAGATCAGCAATTAGCTCCCTGAGAGGCGTGCGCCATTGCCCCCATGGATCGAAGACGAGAGGCCAAGCCCTAGAGGGATGAATACGGGGGAGGGGGAGGCACAATGGCTTACCAGTAGGCATGAGCAGAATCCTGGGCGGGCCTCGCACTGCGCGAGAGCTGTTTCCGCCGGCCGCCGCACTGCTTCGTCGGCGCTGAGCGAGTTGACGAGGACTGTGTACATCGTCGGCACATCGCCGGCGGAGAGCGCCATAGCGGCGCCCGGGGACACGAGGACGAGACAGGACGCCGCGACCGCGAAGGAAGGAAAGGAAAGGCAAGGCGACCGAAGCGACGGCGGCGGCGGCGGCGGAGGGGGGTGTAAGGCGAAGGAAGGATTGATCGGTCGGGGGGATTGCAGAAGAAGAAGAAGAAGAAGAAGAAGCCAGCAAATGGGAACGCGAGATTTCTGGTCGGAAAACCTGCCTGGCTCCACCACCCAGCCACCCCATTCTATTACTCATCTTTCTTTTCTTCCACCGGTTATTAAATAATATGTAATTTTCAAATAAGTTTCAGTTTATATTGTGACCTTATCTTAAGCAAATGTTGAGGGAATATAAGAAGGGTGGACCTAACATTTTTATGCAATATAAGAACTTTCTCGATAAATATATCGTGTTTGCTAGCGTGACAACTTTAGATTTCTCATACTTTTAACATAACACTAGTGCCGATGTCAAAAAAAAATGTAAACAAGTTAGCACATGTACAAGCAGCATGTGTTTATTTAGGGAATTGGAAAATATTGTGTTACCCTAATTTATTATCAGCATGTGGTGCAACACCATAATCTTTCCATTTTAGACATTTTATATTAAAACTTAACTCCCTCGTGTTGTGGTGGAAGTTCTCTCAATGGATGGTAAAGATCATCTGCCATGTCAACAATATATGGCCATGACATCAATAACTACTAGAGGATGCCCCGCACGTTGCTGCTGGACTTGGTTAACATCAATTTGTTAGATAGGAGGTACAATCTCAAGAAGAAACGGAAGAAACAAATGACTTTCTTAGAGAAATTCTTTTTAGCAACCCTATCTAAATTTTGTAGTTAATTTAGGTAGCACATTCAAAGCATAAGCTACAAAAAAGCAAAATGGTTTGACGTAAGTTAACAAATTGTAATGTTAACTGAATGGGCATTCGGCCATAAATCTCTTTTATACGGATTGATGGGCCTGATACATGTAGATGTGTGTGGAGATTAGGCAATGTGTTCATGTGGGCTATATTTGGCACTAAGGAGGTGAAGAGACTCACTCGGTGCCTGATGGGTTGGGCTCTATGATGTGTCCCATCCAATGGCTGAGAAGCAATCTAATGCATTCATCCAACGGTTCACAATTGATGATGACGTGGAAGCATGAGGTTTGAGCTTTTGGCGTTAACTTTATAGAAAGAAGGGATTGTTTCTATAGTCAAGCGCAAAAGTTGTTGATGTGCTTGCGCTCAAGCAAATAAAGAAAAGTCGTTGATAAGAATAGGAGATGTGGTCTTAGGAGTTAGGACTGCTTAAATTCATGTCTAACTTACTTCCTGAGTTTTCCATAGACATGAGTACCATGATATAAATACAAAATATCTACAAGAGGAACATATCACTTTGCAACTCAAGGAACAACAAACACAAAACATATCTAATCCCATCAAATCGACATTAGTGAAAGCGCAAAGAAACAACTAGCCATCTATGGCCTCACTAGGGCTTTCCAACATAGTCGTAGGATAGACTAAGATTTTTATTCCGTACTTTATACTTGTGATATTGATATAGTGGTCACTCAATAGAAGACAACATAAACCTACATCTAATTTGATCCGAGTCAACTTTGGTGGAAGCTCGAAGAAAATACTTGTGCCTTCTTGTCCAACTCAACTCAGAGTTTTTAATCCCTAGCTGTCAACTACCTCACCAGGGCTTATGCATGGCTATTACCTACCAAGGAACCTAATTAATCTTGTATAAGAATCATCGTCTCCCTTTTCTCCCTACATCTTCGTTTGCATCCTTACTTTTGTCTTATCCCAGAACGTCAAGCATATATACTAGGATGGAGGGAGCAAGGCAGAGTATGGCTTGAGCCCCATGCCTTGCTTCATTATCCTTATTATAATCTTGAAAATTAATATGTAGTTTATTAAAATAAGTAAGCTTTTATTAGCTCAGTCCTATATGTGAAGATTTTCTGGCTCCACCACTAATCTATTGAGAATGTTTAATGGAATATGCAAATAAAACAAGCAGAGTATCTAACTATAGCAATTTTTTTTCAACAATTGAAATCAACAACATAACATAATATTCATCTCTCAAGTTAGAATTAGAATAATATGATAACTTAAACATATTGATATTTATTTATTTTGAATTGCAAATGTACATTATAAGTCCAGGCTTATAGTTGTAGGTTCGCATATAAAAAGGTACTCCCTCCATACTCATAAAGGAAGTCGTTTAGAACAGTGACACGGTCTTCAAAACACAACTTTAACTTTTTATTTATATAAAAATATTTATTGAAAAGTGATATATGTATACTTGTATGGAAGTATTTTTCAAGACAAATCTATACATATAACTTTTACATTTTTAAACTCGACAACTTGAGAGTTATTCATGATTTATATTCTCAATGTTTGACTTAAACATTGTCCTAAACGACTTCTTTTATGAGTATGGAGGGAGTACATGCACAATAACACAATAGATGGGGCATTTGGACATGTTTCCAGCAATTTGGTCTTTATTTTCCTGCCGCATCCATATTACATTTCTTGATGTTTTTTTAACATGTTATTTATTAATCCCCTCATCACGCCCTTGCACTAATTTGTGTTAAAATAGAAATGAATCAATCACTAAACCAACAATGTGGCTGTAGTTTAGTGGTGAGAATTCCACGTTGTGGCCGTGGAGACCTGGGCTCGAATCCCAGCAGCCACACATTTGTACTTTATTTTTTATTTTCCATCGAGCCCAGCCCAAGAATTTTTTTTTCCTATTTTTCATCAAGCCCAGCCCAAGAGCCCAAGAATAATTTCAATAAAGCCCAGCCCAATAAGTATTTTGGTAAAGCCCAGCCTAATAAGAAGTCTTGGGTTGGTATGATATTCACGCATGAGTAAATTGCATGTACGGTATATTAACTTAGTAGATGTGTGCAATTCAGTGTCTATAAGAATTTTATAAATAAACGTATGAGTGCAACAACTTGTAAGGTGGGTGCGATTTTTGATACAATAAGTTAATAAACGATGTGACAACTTAATTATTCTAAATATTTTACTTATTTTGATAATATACTAGCGTGGATTTGTATGAGTATACTAAAAGTCAATTAAACTTTACTATGCAAAAAATATTATATTTTGGTTGAATTTTAGAAGGTGATGAAAAAAAATCCAAATCGATGGTGCAAATTGGGTTTGCAATGTAATTCTTAAAGTTAAATTAATATTAGTAGGATTGCTATACGAGACATCATGAAAAAAAACTCACCCACTCAGCACAACACATGCTTATAGTCAAGTCGTTTCACCAAAATGATAAATTGTCTAAGTTCTTGTATTAGAAGGAGTACAACAACTTTGCTAAGTTGTTTCACCACAATAATAAATTGTCTAAGTTATTGCATTAGAACGAGCGCACCCACTTTCAGTTCTCAAATTATTATTATACAATATCACATCCACATGCCAATTGTTGAACCGTGGGTACAACTTTACTCTTCACACATTCGCTATTTTCGATTAAGCCCAAACCTAGGAAACATATACACTGGAGTATATGTTCATAAGTGCTCCTATCTGCTCGACGTCGTGTTTCATGATCTCAAGGTTAGCTGCACATCTGCGACTGCGAGCTGCATCATTTTTTTTATATGCTTATGTGTGCCATACGGACATGCGATGTGTGCCTTCGAGCGAGCACGCGAGCTACATCATTATCTCTACTATTATAAAAATTGAAGATATTTTTACTGGTATTTTGATACGTTATCCGTGTACGAGTCATGTTTTAAGTTTGTTCGCTTTTGAAAATACAAAAGAAATCGTACAAGAAATCTCTTTAAAAAACTCGCAAACTTGAGACGGTGGGACTCCTAATTACAGCTCATAATTTTCTAACAAAAAATATATCCAAGCGAATTTAACACAGTGGATTTCACCTTAAATAAACCATATAATAATAATAATAATAATAATAATAATAATAATAATAATAATAATAATAATAATAATAATAATAATAATAATAATAATAATAATAAGATTAAAATAGCATTCACCCGTTGCAACGCACGGGGATTTTTTTTCTAATAATTAAAAATTGTAGCTTTATTCACTCCATCATTTATTCGTACGATGATTCTATATGATCTATATATATAGTATACTAATATTATCGAAATTTATATATAAAAGGCAGCAGGTAGGTGCAAATGGGGCCGGGATCGAGGATGAATGGTAATGGCGGTACTACTGCGGGTTGGGCGGCCTGGAGTTGGCGGCGGAGACTCTGGAGCCCCATTCGAGGAGCTCCTTGCTGGTGTCGTCCTTGTGCGCCACCACCTCGATGAAGCAGAGGCTGTCCGCCTTGTCCCCCGTGGCCGTCGCGATGGCCGCCTCCAGCTCCTCCTCGCACCGCACCCGGGTGGCCCAGCACCGCCCCTCGCCGTTGTGGATGGCGTTGACGAGGCCCACGTAGTCCCAGTTCTTGATCACGTTGTACGGCCCGTCGTGGATCTCCACCTCGATGGTGTACCCGCCGTTGTTGATGAGGAAGATGATGCTCCGCTGCCCGCAACGCAGCATCGTCGACACGTCCTGCGCCGTCACCTGGAAGCTGCCGTCGCCGATGCAAGCCACCACCCGTTTTTGGACAGCCTGCGCGTAGCCCAGCAGCGCCCCCACCGACCACCCGATGGAGCCGTACTGCATCTGGAACTCGTACCCGCAACCCTCGGGCAGCCGCAGCTTCTGGCAGTTGAACCACGAGTCCCCCGTCTCCGCCATCACCGCCCCGATCTCCGTGCCACCGATCATCCTCTGTATGTGCTTGAACAGCACGTTCACCCGCAGCGCCTCCCCGGCCTCGCACTCCGGCAGCTGTCCCTCCGGCACGAAGATCCTCTTGTAGTTGTCGAACGCCGTCGTGTTCTTCCGGACGCGCTTGGCCAGCTCCGACAGGAAGTCCCTCATCATCACGCACCCGAACGCGGGGCCATTGCCGACGGTCACGCGGTCGGGCTGCACCACCACCGCCTTCTCCTTCTTCAGCAGGCACGAGTACCCCACGGAGCTGTAGTCGTTGAAGATGGGCCCCGCGAACAGGTAGGCGTCCGCGGACTCCACGATCTCCGCGCAGAAGGCCGTGCTGACCGCGCCCCAGTAGGTCCCGATGAAGCGCGGCAGCGTCTCCGGCACCAGCCCCTTGGCGGACGGCATGGCGGCCACCGCGTGGCCGCTGGCGTCGGCGAGGTCCACGAAGGCCCCTCCGGCCTTGGCGACGCGGAGCTTGGGCCCCGCGACGAGGACGGGCTTGACGGCCTTGTCGAGGAAGGCGAGGGTGGCGTCGAGCGCGGCGTGGAGGCTGGCCTGGTTGGAGAGCCTCGGGGAGAGGAAGTAGGGCACCGGGTCGCGGGAGAAGGTGGGGTGGGGGACGGCGGGGAGGTTGCAGCTGACGCTGATGTAGACGGGCTTGCTCTCCCTGATGGCGGTGGAGATGGCGCGGTCGATCTGGTCGTGGGCGTCGTCGAGGTTGTTGACGACGGCCTGGTAGCAGGTGAGGGGTTGGAAGCAGCGGAGCTCCTGGGAGAAGTCCGGGAGGCCGATGGTGTGGTGGAGGATGCGGTTGGTGCCGTAGTCGTTGGAGTTGGGGCCCCCCACGATGCAGATCAGCGGCAGGTTCTCGCTGTACGCCCCGCCGATGGCGTTCAGCACGCTCAGCCCGCCCACGGTGAAGGTCACGGCGCAGGCGCCCACGCCACGGGCCCGCGCGTACCCGTCGGCCGCGTATCCGGCGTTCAGCTCGTTGCAGCAGCCCACCACGCGGAGCCCGGGCTCGGCGATCAGGTGGTCCAGAAGCGTCAGGTTGAAGTCCCCCGGCACGGCGAACACGTCGCTCACGCCCACCTGCACGAGGCGCCGAGCCAGGTGCCCGCCCAGGGTGGCGTCGCCGGAGGACGGCACCACCACCGCTGCCTCCTTGGGAGATCCTCCTCCTCCGCCGTTGCTCTCCATTAATTAATTGTCCGATCGATCGATCTTAATCTGTTATATACAGTAAGTATGTGGGGGTGGGCGTGTTCCCGTATATATATGCATGATTATGAAGATGATCGATGCGCGCGCGCGGTTTCGTCGCCTACGCTTTCGCTGCATCCTCTGTGGGGGATCGGTGGGCCTACATGTCAGTTACACAACAGACGCGCGGCAGCATACGTACGGCGCCGTGATTTAATTTGAATTGGTCTGTCAATCCATTGATCGATGCTAGCCATACGGCCCACGGATGCATGCAACCCTTCCTTAATTAATCGATCTTCTTACGGCACAAGAAAATATTCCGTGTGGCAGTAGCTGGAATTGAAGGAATGCATATGCTTATTGGAGCAGATCCAAAGCCCAACCATCAACATAACACTATGGGCCTCACGTCCCACTTCTGATAATTCGAAAGTTCTTGGCATCAGTATTCCAAATAAGTCCACTCCCATTCGTGTCCATCAACCATATAAAACCATACCCTCTTCCAACTATTTAAAACCGATGTAATTTAACTCCCACAACATTATTCACATTGGTATTTACTGACGTAACTCGTTAACATGGTCCACCAATTGAGTCGGCATGCGAGACTCCTATATCAGTCTCACCTCCTTTCCTTCTTTCTCCCTTATCCTTTCCCCACTCGGCCACATGGGACGAGCCCGAGCAGGGGATCAGGGATGACAACCGACGACTTGGATGGCAGAGCCAAGGAGGACAACGATGGAAACATGATGTGGCCGGGCAGGCCTTCCGCATCAGCTCGCCGCCCTTCACCAAGCTACCAACAGTGGCGTCCTCTTCAGATGGCAATGATGGACGATGTACCATCTTCCTTGCTAGCTTCGATAGGAGACGTAGGAGGCGCATCGAGACGGGTGCCTTATTTTCCCTCACCAACAAGTTCTCACTACAATGACAATAACTGTGACTCTAGTGAACCACCCCCTTCTCGCGTTGGAAAATTGAATTGATGCTTAGGGGCAACATCTTGTTGGGTCCTGTGAGTCGGGCTCTTCCTTGATCCATTCCGTCGTTGCTATTGCAACTATCTTCTAGCGTGCGTGCAACGCATCCTTACTACGTTCTCCCTTTCTTTTCTGACGTTATTCCTCGTAGTCAAGCTGTGATAGTGAAGAGGAGCCCGATCGATGCCCGTCACTGCCGACGCGAGAGGCCACATCGTGGGACAGAGCAACTTCCCTTTGCCGGTGTCGTGCCTCGCTGGCGATGTCGCTAAAGGGAGGAGGTTGTAGCTGGAAGTACCTCCACCATGGCATGTTGCCATAGAAGGGGGCCTACCTGCTGCACCCTAGTATGGGAAAGGGAGGTGAGGAGTCTTCGCTGCCAGCCGCCGGTGCTTGACCTCATCATCCTACCACTATTGTGGAGAAGAGGCAACCAAAGGAGGAAGGGCCAAAGGTGGGAGAGAGAGAGAGAGAGAGAGATAGGCATAAGGAAGAAGGGAAGGAGAAAGAAAGAGAGAATGACATGTGGGCTCCACATGCTGACTCAGTCAAGTGGACCATGTCAACAAGCCACGTCAATAAATACCGCTATGAATATTGTCTTGGGAGTTAAATTACATCATTTTAATAATGGTGGTTAGGAGTGATTCTTGATATCCAGTATTACGGTTGAGGAATACGAATCAGATTGAACATTTAACAACGGGAATCAAAGTGAACTTATTTCTTACTATTCCACACCTAGAGAAAGGATATGGCCCAAATTAGATCAAAGTAATGCAGGCCTAGAGGCCTTTAGGCTTGGTTGCATTCGAGCGCGGAGCAGCCAGGCCCAGTCACCTCGTTCCTGACTAGTAAAAAGGAAAAAGAGTAAATTTCACAAATAGCATATTTCAGTGTACGTGTAAGACAAAACCCCATATATTACGACTTGTTCCAATGATCCCGTAGTTTATTTTCGATGCCAGATTTTATCCTCCGTGATCAATAAAATTTCCCGTAGCAACGCACGGACACTTTACTAATTTAAGTTTATGGCAAAATGTTTCGAGAAACGCGTCGAAGGGGAGATAAGCTCCTACGGTGTGGTCAGAGGTGGGTCTCAAATGTGCATATGCGTCGACGGTGCTTGGACACGTATAGTACGATGAAGCACAGTTGGATCCAAGTAGACGCTTCTTCCATGGCGCTGAGAATTCAAGCTCTGGTTCGGCTTCAATTCTCAGCGCGCCTGCAAGGGACCCTGCTGGGCTCTCCGCCGTGGACCAGCCAAGCTACTGCTACTCTACTCTTGTAACGAACTACATTTCGAGCCACCTCAAGGCAAGGATTCTGCATCGCAAACTTCTTCTTACACACTGGCACTACTGATTCCCACTCACAACCAATGCCCAACTGTCCTGACTGGTATAGAGTTTGCCAATGCCGAATTTGATCAAGCACAGTCCAACTGCGCCGAGGATACCATCACGCCAGTTTTCTGATTATTTCATTTCATCTAGGGTCCTTTTCTCTGACTAATCCATATATGGTATCGTCTGAATAATTTCATTTCGGTCTGAAAAAAATAAAACTGCTAACGAGCTTATTAACATGATCACTCCTAGCTTCCTTCACACGTTATTGGATATCACCAGCATTTTATTGACATTTGTTGATCTTGCAACAACCGAGTTAGGAAAAGGCCAGTAGCTGAAACAAGTTGCCAAGAGACACAGAAGTATTTTCTCATTCAAAGTCAGAGTATTCTCATCACTAGTTTTGTTGCCATGGCCTTAGCTGGATTATTCAGTGCTATCATGCATGCTACTTGCCACATGTTGCCAACAAACTCAACATGATACATCCTTCCTTCCTTCCTTCACACGTTTGCATGCTTACAAGTTACAATGCTCAAAACACCTTGTATGTATACATATATAACTATAACCACAACCACCAAACTCTTGAGTAGTCTTGATGATTAACAAACAAGAAAAGAAATGAAAGAATTTGCTACTATATCACATTGGGGAATCAATTGCTGTTGCTGGTGGTGTTGACATCAGCATAGCTAGGTAGCTTGGCCAGACATGATCTCCAGCTCCGCCCACCATAGCGGCGACACCTTTGGAGTCGCTCCCTCAGGCCCCAGGGAGGTGATCTCCTTCATCCGACCTGCAACCTGTGACATGAGCGGCCTCTTGCTCGGCTCTGGCTCAATGCACCACCTCGCCACATCGCACAATGCACGCGCAGCGTCTTCAGGGAATGATCCCAGGCTTGGGTCAATCAGCTCTGCAAGAGTCATCTTGCCTTCAAAGTAACCAGATGCCCAATGCTCCAGTGGCCCATCTGACTCAGAGTAGGGAACTCTTCCGGTCAATATCTCCAGCAGTATTATGCCATATTGATGCACCATGCTATCTATCTCCACCATGACGGTTTCATCAGAAGTAGCAGAATTGAAGGATCCCTTACTGTCGTTCCAGAAATCAAGATCTGAAACCTTTGCAGCGAAATCATCAGTCAGGTATATAGTTGTCGAGTTGAAGTTCCTTGGCACAACAGGTGGGTTCAGCTGATGCATGTGCTCTAGACAGTAAGCTATTCCCATCGATATCCTAACCCGTGCCATCCAGTCCAAGTTCTCAGCTTCCCTGACTGCAGCAACACAATCAAAGGCATTGTCAAAATGCCATATCAATAATCATACGGGGTTGCATTCTGTAGTGTGCGAAATTCGCAGATTTTACCAGTATAATATTTGAAGCGATATATGTGATACAGGAATTACCCTGTTCACAGAAAATCAAAGAAATGACATGGAATAAAAGGAACAGATTAGTAAACAGGGGCAGGCTTACCATGGAGATACTCAAAAAGTGTCCCGTTTGGAGCATACTCAAACACCATAGCTCTGGTAAAAAGATTCTCTTCTTCACAATAGCCGAGCAGATTCATAAAGTTCTTATGGCTAACTTTGGATAAATTTGTGATCTGAAATCATAACCATTTCAGCCATTCGCACAGTAAAGATGAGAAAAAGCATACGCACATTTCTGAGAAAAGTCATTTGCACCACAGAAAACATATTTGTATTTTAGGGGATATCCTAAAAGTTATGAGCACATGTTACCTTTTTTCTGTACTGTGACTCGCATTCTTTTGACCATTCCTTCCCGGATTCTGTTGAACTTGTCAAAACTGCTATTTCAACTCCACTTGATAAAGTTCCCTTGTACAACATGCAACTAGATGTAGAACCAATTATATTGCTGAAATCCTCACATGCTGCTTCCAGCTCAGACCGTTTCAATGAAGGTACACCTGGGATAAAAGATTGATGGGTCATGGTGTAAGGTGTAACTGAAATACTAGATATAAGACACACAAAATATACATGTAGAGGAAGCGTGTACCTGTGACAAATGCTCGTTGCAATTGCCCGCTTAACCCCGTGGCCCAAGGTCTGACAGTTCCGACTTTCTTAGCTCGACAGTAAATAACAGATGCTATTGTCATGACAAGGAAAACTGCACTTCCTGCTGTGACCAAACCGTAGTTTCTCCAGGAATGCCTAGGTTGAGCCGGAGCATCTTCAACAGCAGGATTACTCTCTGCCTTTGGCTGTGGGGTTGAAGGAGATATGGGGATTGTTATGGCAGCAGGTGAGGCTGATTTAGGTGGAGCAGTGAATGGAGAAGGGGATGGTGCAGGCGATGGTGCTGGTGTATGTGCTGCTCTGTGATGCCCCCCGTGCCTATTGTGATGATGAGGAGGAGCTTGTTTAGGTGACTCCTCGAGAAGAAGAGCATGTAGGCTTCCAGTTCTACCACTGATATCGTCCAATAGGCCAAGTAATTTTCTAGTATGTGCATTTCTGAAAGTTGAAATCACAAGAAGCAAGAGCAAAAGAAAGGAAATTCCTTTTTTAGTATGCCTCCTCTTCACGGTAAAATTAAGCTGTCTAAATCGTAATGAAGTAGATCACAGGCATCGATCTCGATAATCGAAAATAAATAAATAAATAAATCGTAAATTCGTACAAACAAATTCCACATGGAATGGCCGACCAAATCAAGAAGTAGCGAAAGAGAGAGAGATTAATGCCAGAATAGATTGCCAGTGTTGCCCAGCAGAAAAAAAGAAAGTCTGTAAATACATTCTCACCTAAGATGAACAACAGAGGTCTGTCCCCAATTCTGTGTGTCTGCAAAAATCAACCCAAGAAACAATGAGGATAATCAGCAGCACAACCGAATTAGCCAAGGGGCCAAACGAAAGAAATAAAAGGGCACCAATTAACCTGCAGCAGTAGAGTGGGCGAGCTGGCAAGAGAGAGGAACCGATGATAGCACAAGCAGCAGCAGCAGGCGAAGCAAAGGCAGCGCCATTAGGCACCAGATCGATCAAGGAAAAGCAACAAGAAAGGGCGGCGGTGGCATGGGAAGCCAATCAGAGATGGAGGAGGAGGCAAAGCTTGAAGTGGCGAATGGTTGCTGGGATCTGAGAGGAGAGCGAGCAAACGCGGTAGAGGTTGAACGCACGCGGCCAAAGAAAGAAAATCGAGGACGAAGGCGACCGCACAGCTTAGTAGTACCATTAGGCAGGCAGATTAGCGCCAATTATTACTCTATTATTATTATTATTATTATTATTATTATTATTATTATTATTATTATTATTATTAGTGATTTCATTATCTGGTGTTTAATGCTCTTGTTTCTTAGTCTAATCACAATGTATGGAATCACAGGCTCACAGCCAACCAACCCACCCTCCCCCTGGAGGCTTGGGGACAGATTTACACCAACCTTTGTACTTCCGCCCATCTTCTCTTTATTCTTTTTTATTCGTCTCCGGTTGCTGGCATCTCAAAATAATACTCCTCCTCCTACTGCTACTGTGCATACTACTATGCATAACATCGTTTCATTCCAAGTGCGAGCTGCAACTGAAACAAAATATAAATCCTTCCAAATCGAGAATAATTAACTATTTACAACTTTTATGAGTGGTGATAAAGGATTTGTCACTAGACCCATGTATCATAGACATATAAGGGCCCACTCCAAATCGTTGCAGGCTTACATATAGGAAGATGAACTCAGGAATTTCTGAATTAAAACAGTATTATTAGGAAAGGAAGTCCTAGTTAGGATTGCATTTGATCTCAATCCAAAAGAAGGAAAATCAAACATCACTATACTTTGACATAAATTTTGGATTGGATTTGGGGCCATCATATCCCAGTAGTTGACCATGACTAGCAACCGCATTTCTTTAACGCACAACTCCCCTGGAATTGACCTACATTTAAGTCGTAATCATCCAAGATCTACTACATTGTCGACCGTTAGGAGCACTACTCCTGAATGAGTGAATGAACAAGCAGCATATGCAATGACACCAGAAAATGAAAAACTACTGCATGTCATGAGCACTACGAATAAATAAATACCAAGGGATCAAGCAACGCCAAATAAGCAACTTATATCATATTTTTCATTTTTTGCGAGTCTATAAGTGAACTAATCTTAATGAGTCTATGACCGAACTAATCTTAAGAGTAGCGATGTTTTCTTTTCTTCTTTTTTGTTCTCCTCTGATCAGCTCAGCTGCTAGGGGAGGTTTGACTAGCTATCGGAAGTAAACTGAGACAAGAGGAATATCGATGTCGTTTCCATCATCATCCTCGCAGGCCGCCACAAGATCCAAATGCTTCCTGTATTCAGGAACATCCACCTTGGCGACTTCTCTGGCCACGTCTACCACCTTCTTGTTCAATCTCTCCTTGTGTCTTGCGAACATGTTGTTGTACAGCAGCGAAGTGCCACAGGAAATGCTGTAAGCGGTAAGGCCCTTGTCGCTGAACCATTGCAGGAGCTCAGCAACAGTCAGATTGCCCTTGATGGACCATCTGTCCCATACAGTCCAGCTCATGTCTTGATGCTTCATCACCTTGGGTGGAACAGGTTCAGCCATTGAGAATAGTGGCAGTGCCAGGTTCGCAAATGTATTGCGGTAGTCTTCAATGGGGTGCTCGCCAGCAATAACCTTGTATAGCTCAAGACAGACCAGTCCTGTCGCCATCGCTGTTGAAGTTGCAATAGCTGGGATGATTCTTCCAGCAATGAACTTAGCCTTCAATTTGTCAACCTCTGGAATGCTGTAGTTCCTTGCGCGCATATTTGCAAATCCAGAGATCAGATCCATGTGAAAGTTGGTGTCATCATCCTGTAAAAGCAAAGCGAAATTTAATATCAAATAGCTCATGCATCAGTAGTTTTTGAGGGTGGCAAACATTCGACACAAACATTGCTAGTATATCAGCTTTTCATGTTCAAGGAAATAGGAATTTCTGTTGTATGCATATGGACAACAGAAGCTACACAGCCAACCAAGAGGAAGAAAATTTTCTAATATGTCATTCTAAGGAAGAACAAGGAGCTAATAACCAAATACATATCCTCACGATTCACCAGATTGTACTAACATACATACATCTCCAAAGTACAGAAGCCATGATTTGAAATATTGTGCTAACTAATAACGATGGTAATAAGTACAAGCCATGCATTACAAGTGACTAGAGATGTGGTACGTCGATATATCAAACATCAGCAAGGAAGTGGAAAAACAACAGATCCAGTGTAACTAGGGACACTTGAACTATATTGAACTAGGTGGATATATATCAACAAGTATCTTAAACCTAGACTTGCAGAAACTTGTACTTAAAATACTAACCTTCTCAAATTGGATAGGTTTCATTTGGAATCCTGGAGGTAACCTCTTGGCACATTCTTCCAACTTAGCAAGAAGGTCATCAATAACACTAACATCATCAACTGAGGCACTGGAAAGGCTAGTAGCTTTCTCATCTGTCACAATACTGACCCCTTTCTTTGGCTCAAATTGAGGAACGGCAACTTCACTTACTGCATCAGCCAGCTTACTTGTGTTCTTTGCCCAGTCCGGTATAGCAATTCCAAATGACTCAGCTCTCAGTATTGAAGCAGACATAATAAAGTGAATGTGGGAGGGATCAGAGACTGAAAATTGCAGTGGGCGAGGGAAGCGCTTGGGGGCAGACCAGAAAGGAGCACCCGTACTAGTGGCAGCATCTTCAGGAAAGGTAAATGTGAGCTGCTTCACACGGTTTGAGAAATAGTCCTCAAATCTGCCAAGAACAAAACAAAAGGAAAATTTTCAACTTGTGAAAAGGGAAAACGGAGCCATAAAATTGCACCAGCCTTAACTGTACTAGTCTTCACAGGAAACACAAAAGCTGATTTAACAGTGCAAAGGACTAACTCAGACAATTTATTAATAGTGGGCTAAACTAATCTTTCTTGTCAAGAAGAAAGGGCCAACAAAAATATAATAAAAATAATATAGCAATGGCAAGCAGGAGAGACATACTTCAGTCTGGCCCATCTTATGCAATCCTCAAACAAACTGCAACGCTCTTTGCCAAGACATTCAGAAACACGCTCGAGCAATTCTCTAGCTTGGGCATCACCTGCCTTCCTCATGGCAGCAGCATATTGAGCCGGATTAGAGAGAAATGAATTTACTTCACCTGGTGTCTTCTCTAGCAAACCCTCAAACTCAGAGCGTGCCCAAGTCAAGCAATGATCAATATTGTGCGGAAAAGAATGGACTGTGCACATTGGTGCCTGCTTCTCTGGAGGATCTCTTGAAGCCCCATAATTTTCAGTAAGGTGAGGAATCACCATTTGCGTATTGCACTTTGCACCCAATGTTCCTGACTCCAACAATGCCTTCTGGAAGTACAGGCATCTCATGTCCATATACATCCTGGCATTAACATTATCAAGCGCATTGATGACAACATCTAAACCCTCCCAGAACGTGTCATGGAACACATTCTCTGTATCTGGACAAGCACGGTTCTGGAGAGCATCAATACAGAGGTTGGGGTTGATAGCACTGGCAGCTGCAGCGGCCACAGTAGACTTTGCCTGCCTGATATTCCAGTCACGGAACAGAAATTGGCGGCTTAAATTACTTTTCTCAATGACATCATCATCTGTTATAGTTAGCTTTCCCTTAGGGCTGCAAGACACTCCCATTAAAGCAAGGTTCTTCAAAAATTCACATCCAAGGGCACCAGACCCCACAACAAAAGTATTTGCCTCTTCCAGTTTCTTCTGAAGTTTGGAACCAAATACAGAGATCTGAGCATCATAGCGGCTGTTTGACGGTTTGATGTCTTCAGAGTCAAGTGGATACGTTGGCAGGGATTCGACAGAATCAAAGTAGAAGAACTACATAAAATTGAGTTCTATCAGACAGGGTCAATGGATTATCATAAAAGCAACAGATGAGTCATAACACAAACCTGGTAGAGAGGATGGAATTTTCCTGAACATGCCTTCACAACTTCTTGACCAACAATACCACCAAACATTGCAGCCATAGGGTTCAAAACAGCTCGAGAACCACTTGCGAAATGTCTGAATAACTTCTCATCAATTGTATCCAGCTTGTGATCAGTTAAGGCTTCGTTAATATCAGCAGCACACTTAAGGAAACTTTGAGCATCCTGCTCACAACCAGGAGCAGGGTAGCGTCCATATTCTTTCTTAAACTTATCCAGAGCTTGAAATGCTAGGTGAAGCACGGGGGAACGTTCAAACTTAGAGAAGTCACTCAGAAGGAAATCTCCAGGATCTCTCATAGCATCTCTTAGTGACTTGAATCGTAGTATCTTTGGCTCCTTGATCTGTGTAACGATTCCACCTTTTATATACATGTCATATTTAGTTGTATCTTCCTCAATGCAAAATGAAAATGGCCTTGCATTTTTAACCTTCCTTGGTTTTCCATCATTTAACTCAGCCATACCATGGACCTCAGAGAAAACCACAAAATCACCGTCCTGAAACTCAAGCCGTTCATCATCTACACAGGACACCAACGCAGGGTTGTCATTGCTGATGGATGCAATTATACCAGTATGTGGGTCTTCACCATCAACATCAAGAACGGTAAACTCTGGTCCAAAGTCACAAAAGACAGTACCAAAGAGACCACAAACTTCAGCTTTGATGAAGGAAATAGGAGGGCAGTGGCTGTGACAGTAGTCATCAAATTCGTAGGCCTTGTCTAAACCTATATCGGTGAAAACAACAGCCTGCCATCCAGATAAAACTATGGGTTAGACAGGCATATCAGAGATGCATGGAATATATGTGACCATTCATCATATGGCAAGATACTGCAAGTGCAACAAACCTGGAATTTAGACAGGTGGTCTGTGGTCAGTTCCTCTGTTAGAGCAGAGACAAGAACAGCATTGTTGAGCTCTTGCAGCTTGGATACACAAGCAGCAGCCCTGTTTTTGCCAATATCATTTTCAGATAAAAAGAAATTGGCAGACAAATCCCACATCTCAACGTTTTTCACATCATGTAGGGTGACGGACTTGACCCCAGCAAGAGCAAGGTTCTTGGCTGCAGGAACGCAACACATTTGTTTAATACACGAGAGTTGCATATTGTTGGCAATATATGAAACTGAAGTAAGGTAGCATAAACAAGTTACAATCGAATCCATTCTACGGAATACATGTTAAAATCGGAAAAAAAAAATGATGCGGGGACATGATTTTGTTATAGAATCGAATCCATGTTGCATACTTGTGATGAGGAGACAGTTGAAAGCAATCTGGAACAGAAAGAAACAGAGGACGAACAGAGTGAGTGGATAGAAAGACGAACCAATCTCTGCACCGAGGCCATTGAGGCCAGAGACGAGGACATGGGAGGCGAAGAGGCGGCGCATGGTCTCCCTCCCGTAGACGGCGAGCTGCCTGCTGTGCAGGTCCTCGTCAATCTCCGGCACCACCACTCCATTCGTGCTCCCGTTTTGGGCGACCTTGGGTCTCTTGGGGTCGGTGGGGCGGTCGTCGTCCGTGCCGGCGGCTCTCTTGTTGGTGGGAAGCATGGAGAGCAAGCCCCTGCGCAGAAACCGTAAGCACCTCATCGCCAAGTCCAGATTGAGATTGGAACATGAAACAGCGCAGATCCCCCATAAGTAGTAGTAGCACAATCGGAATAGATGCGATGCGATGCGATGCTTACCTGTGGCGGGCGGCGACCTCACCGGCGAGGGAAAGGAAGGGATCTTCCTCCTCCGCGGAGAGGAGACGAGACGAGATGCTTAGCGTGGCGGCTAGGTTTCCGTTTCCCCTTGGAGTTGGAGGAGGATTAGCTTCTTGGGTTGGGAAAAGTGGGGGAGTGCGAGTGAGAGAGGAAGAAGCAGTGTAGAGGAGGAGGAGGCGGCGGCGGCGGCGGCGGTGATGAGACCCTCGCCTATTTATACCCTCCTCTTGCTACCGCCACTTGCCCAGGTCACGCACACATTATTGAGCGAGCGAGCGTGCGACAGATAACACTTGAACTCGACACGACTCCCCCTCCACCGAAAAACCCAAACCCCGCGCCGCGGCCGCCCCGCCCCCGAAATCCCCTCCTCCTCCAACGCCCTAGCTCCGGCGAGCGACTACCGGCGGCGATGCCGAACCTGGAGTGCAGGATGTACGAGGCGCCGTTCCCGGAGGTGGAGACGGCGGTGATGATCCAGGTGAAGCACCTCGCCGAACTGGGCGCCTACGTCTCGCTGCTCGAGTACAACAACATCGAGGGCATGATCCTCTACTCCGAGCTCTCCCGCCGCCGCATCCGCTCCATCCCCTCCCTCATCAAGGTCGGCCGCCAGGAGCCCGCTGTCGTCCTCCGCGTCGACCACGACAAGGGCTACATCGACCTCTCCAAGCGCCGGGTCTCCCACCACGACCGCCGCACCTGCGAGGACCGCTACAGCAAGTCCAAGTTCGTCCACTCCATCATGCGCCACCTCGCCGAAACCCTCCACCTCGACCTCGAGCCGCTCTACCACCGCATTGCCTGGCCGCTCTACCGCACCTACGGCCACGCCTTCGACGCCTTCAAGCTCATCGTCGCCGACCCCGATGCTGCTATCCTCGACTCGCTCACCTACGACCTCACGGAGACTGGTCCCGACGACCAGGAGGTTCGTGCCCGCGCCTTCCTCAATCCGCACCACCACCACCACCACCGCTTTTTCGCTGCCGGTTATTGTGCTCGTTGTTGTTTATTCACACTTGCCCCTTGAAGATCAGTTAATTATTCAGAGATTTGTTTGTGTTCTAGTAGATAGGTTGGTCCTTTCGATATGTATGTTGGACTTGATCTGCATATGGAATTTATCCTAACCATGTGCTCTTAAAATTATTTCTATTTGTTTTATGCATGTATGTACATTGGAAACATATGTTTATTAAGACTGCTATGTCCTGCATTTTCATACAGGTGACTAAGACCCTGCCTGCTGTCACCCCAGAGATCAAGGATGCCCTTATTAAGAACATAAGGAGGAGAATGACGCCACAACCGCACAAGATACGTGCTGATATCGACATGAAATGCTTCCAATATGATGGTGTTCTCCACATTCAGGTTCTGTTCGCTTCCATCAATGGAGTTTGGATTCCAAATGCCTCTGTGGGTTGCTGATTATGTTCAGTTTGCAGGAAGCCATGAGGAAAGCTGAAGCAGCTGGAAACAAGGATTGCCCTGTGAAGATCAAGCTAGTCGCTGCCCCGCTTTATGTCCTGACCACTGAAACTCTTGACAAGGTTATTGTCTTTTCCTTTTCATTTGAGCAGTTAATATGGACCTTTGGATTGATTTTCGCTACGTGGTGGGCCAGTATGTTTATTTAGACCTGGTTATTTGAGAATAGCTTCTTGAGCATGCAATGCCTTGTCTCTTATATGTAGGTTTCTGTATGCAGACATGTATATTCTTCTATACTCTCATTATGTGATGCAAAGGCAGAGTCTGTAGGATCCTTCACTTTGAACTTGCTGATTGCAAGCAATGTCTATTCTCACTGAACTGGTATATGCGTGTATAAGCAATGTCTATTCTCGCCAAACTGGTATATTGCTTATATATGCATATAGGTATTGCTTATATGTGTATATAAACTGGTATTTTCACTTCGAACTTGCTGTTATAAGCAATAGCTATTTTTTTTCCAGGATACTTTTGTGGACTCAACCAATTTGTATAGATGACAAAACATGCTGATGTTTGATTTTTGATCTGTTTTTCTTTGCCTATATTTCAATTTAGAAGTAGCATGTCACATCTACCATTGTCCATTTCTCATTTCATCTCTATTAGTTTGCTGCAATCAATTTGGTTTTAGGGCTATTCATGATTTGTTATGTTGTGAACAGCACCAAGGGATCTCAGTCCTTAACAATGCGATAAAAGCTTGTGGCGAGACAATTGAAAAACACAAGGGGAAATTGGTGGTAAAGGAAGCGCCTAGAGCTGTAAGTTCCCCCATTGCCTGATTCTGCTTTACATCCTCCCTGTGCTTTATACCTTTGGCTCCAAAGGCTTTTGGTAGGTGCTCCCTTGAGGACTGTAGCTTATAGTTTTTGAGAGTGAAAGTTAATTTCAGGTGGCGTCTTCACCCACTTATATAGGCTTAGAAAAACTGTTTCATCAAAGTATTGGGACATGTTGATCTATTATGTCTTTGTGTAGGCATCTTGTAAAACTGAATATCCTTATTGTGAAACTATTCAGATTTGTGTGCTTAAGTGAATGTCGTTTGCACATGCAGGTGAGCGAGAGAGAGGATAGGCTGTTCATGGATGACATAGAAAAGCTGAAAATAGCCAATGAAGAAGTTGATGGTGATGAGGACAGCGAAGAGGACACAGGCATGGGCGATGTAGATCTTACAAAGACCGGCGTTGGTTCGCAGTGATCAGTAACAGTATTCGGGCTGGATGAGAGAAATTGTACAGCGCAGCTTGAGGGATGGTAGTTTGACCAGTACGTTTTAGCACAGATTTTGGTGAGATAGAAACGGTTACTAGTAGTCAAGGCTCACATCGATTTAGGGCTAATCATTTCTGACTATGTATATGTCAATATTGGTGAAAGTTTTGCCAGGACAGCACAGCATTAAGAAAGATGATGGTCGCACCAAATAGTTGACCACTGTGCGTCTGTGTTAGTTGGAGGATTGGGCATTTTTACTTGTGTTGCTGCCTGAATGTTTCAGGTAGCCCCGTCTCAAGTGTACATATATGCATGAATGCACATGTTCCCCTAGTTGAGTTCAGTTGTCATTCAGAAATGTAAAAACACGTACAGGTGGAATGGAGGATGTTGCAAGTTTTGGCCTCAGCGAGGAGAGGCAGCTATCAACGATTGGATGTTGTGCTTCCTGTTGCAACCTGATGCTACTTTCTTACTCCGAATGCTGCCTGAATCCATGGACTTAACCAACATGTTCATCAAGGCACCAGTGGTCTAGTGGTAGAATAGTACCCTGCCACGGTACAGACCCGTGTTCGATTCCCGGCTGGTGCATTTTACCTTTTTTGTGTCGTTGTTTCAGTGCATAGCTAGCATGGCACACATGTATATCAACCATTTTTTTTTGTTGTTGTTGTTTCAGTGCATAGCTAGCATAGCATACATGTATACCAACCTGAACTTTTGGTTCTGTGGAGGAGAAGTGCACTTAGTTGAAGTTGAAGGTTGAGGTGCCTGATACCTGATGGTAGCAGTACATTTTATATCAGGCCATCACCTCCTCCTAAGGAGGTACTAGTACTAATTAAGAGCTAACAGTAGCAGTTGTAAGTCGTAGTTCATACTAATATTAGTAGGTACAAGTAGGGTCAGTCTTGCTTGACAATCATATGGAAGGTGCCGGTGTGATCTTCATCGGCAAGCTCCTTCAAGACCTCATCATCGATGTCAGTGACACGGTTTTGCGAGGAATCATCAACATAGCGTCCCAGGAACACCATTTTGGACATCCAAGCTTTCCTCCTGTTGCTGTTGTACTTCTCCTCCTCCCATGTCCCAGATGCCACCAGGAGGTAGACGTACACCGTCCTCTCCTGCCCACGCCGGAACGCCCGCGCGATCGCCTGCCTCGTCTTGGAGTGGTTCCACTCCGAGTCCAGCATCACCAGCCTCGACGCGCCTGTCAAGCTGATCCCCTCCGCGCATGCCGTTGTCGACGCGATCAGCACCTTCCTCTTCCCCGCGCTGTCGCCGTTGAACTTGTCCATCACATCGGACCGGACAGGCAGCTCCTGATCACCCTGAAGCACCAGCACCTCCTCCCCGAGCCGCCACCCAAACACCATCTCTATCAGCTTCACCAGGAACGTGATCGGGGACACGTTGTGGCAGAATATCAGCACCCTCTCCCCTCTGAACGACGACTTGTGCAGCAGATCGATCACAAATTTGGCCTTGCACCCCGCCGCGAAGTCTCGCTTGTACCTCTCAACCTTCTTCACTTCGGCTGGACTGAAGAAGGTGCTGACGGCCTTCGTCGTTTTTATGAGCCAAGGATGGATGGAGCCAATCGTGATGAGCAGCTCAACCTCTAGAGGGAACCGGGACGACCCGAGCTTGGGCATTGTTACCTTTGCCAGCATCTCCTCCTGAATGTCCGTGGGCTTCATGAACACGGTATACACATGTATCCCTGGAAGGTTGATCAGCTTCGCTCCCTCGAATGAATCTATGAATCCACGAGTAAGCTTGTTTAGCAAACTGATACCATCACTTCTGATATGTTTGTTGTCAGACTCAATCTTCTGGCCCACTTTCTCCACAAAGGCGCGGCGTGCCACTGCTTCTTGATGTTTGGCTCTCCTGCCAACTGTTTCTCTTTTCCTCTCTGGCACTAGTTCACTCATGATATCACCGATAAACCGAGGTCTGGCCAAACATAGGGTGTTGAAGTACTCTTCAAAGTTGTTCTGGAAGGCCGTGCCAGATAAGAGGATTCTGAACTCAGTCTTCACCTTCATCAGCAGCTTCCTCAACTTGGACTTGTTGCTTCTTGGGTTGTGCCCCTCGTCAAGAATCAAGAGTCCAGGGTTGTTCATCAGGACCTCTGCGATAAATTCTCGGTATCGGTTTCGCACTTTTGAGTCTTGTTTCGTCATCCCTAAGAAAGATGAGTATGTCATGAGGAGGACGCTTGGATGTGCATGCCACTTGAATAGTTTGTCCAAAGAATCCATAAGGCGCATATTTGTCCAGGTTGGTCTGTGAAAATTATTTAATAACGACCGCAGTTTAGAATCCATTGCCCCCAACGGCTTGCCACTTCTGTTAGCATGGTGGAACACATGTAAAGGAAGTGAAATGCCCCATTTCTCAAATTCTCTCTTCCATGTATGAATTGCAGCTTTTGGAGTAAGGACCAATGGCCGGCTTCTTGGGTGAGCTTTCATGTAACTCACCAGAAATGAGATAAGCAGCAGTGTTTTCCCAGATCCAGGAGTGTGTGCTATCACACAGCCACCTGTACTGACATTTGAGTTATCCATTCCTTCAACCTGTATCGACCCCGCCAAATTTTTCCACAGAAAATCTAGTGCTTTTCTCTGGTGAGGAAGCAGCTTTGGATCAAGATCAGATATTGCACTCCACACGCTCCCTGAGTTCTTCAATTCTGACAACTCTGGTGCCAAGTTTGCAAGAAGAGAAGGATCAAGTATATCATCATCAAGGCAAATATTGCTGCATCCAGGTCTGTCCTTGTAGTCATTTCCATTGAACTGCATGAAATTAATAAATTATACATCAAGTCAATGTGTTAAAAAGTGAAAATAATGAATAAATACTTGCTTGATTGAAAAATTGGACCTACCATTTCTGGAAATATATCCTTTGCCTCAGTGCATACAACATTGCATAATCTGCATGCTAGTCCAAGCTCCTCATCCAGTATGCATTCATGATGGCATGGTATTCCTCCAACTTTTCCAAAATAATCGGTGCTCTCATTAACTGATCCTGACTCTGCAAACTGAAAAAAAAAAAACTAAAGTGTTTTACTATCATGTGAGGCTAAAAGAAAACGAAGGTACATGTTTCCAAATAAAGGAGGTTAAGTAATTTACGCCAGCAACATTGCAACAAATACTGCTAAGGATTCCTCTGACCTATAGTTTTTATGCATAAACACCTCACTGTATACCCTAACAGCAAAAATAATCAGCCTGAGTGATCAAATAGGGCATAACATTCCTACTCCATATAATCAGGTGAAGTACTGATTACTGAATATTGATAAAACCAATTACTAAAAGCTTGTTTGAAAAATACCATACTTCATTTTTTTAACAAATGCTACAGAATTCTTAATAAATGCTTGTATATACCCTACAGATTAAATCAGAAGTCGGGACAAAACAAAAGTAGAGGAAAATAAAAAAATAGAAAGAAAGAAGAACAAATTATTTTGCACCCTACAGATTAAATCAGAAATTGAGGCAAGTACCCTGACCACATTGATACCCTATATTTCTATAAAATAAATACAATAAATAGAAAATATAAATGATGTAAAAGATTGGATCGAACTTTGTGATCCTAATAACCATTTTTTTTACAATATGTATTTTCTGCTAACACTACACATTCTAAAAACGTTATATGCAAAACTTCCAGGTTTTATGAAATCACAGCAATTTAAGAAAAATTACCTTTTCTTTTTTTTGATAATAGCATCTGTAATCATCCGTCAAAGTTAAACAATCCAGCCTCAACCCATCAAAATTATCCACCAGCATGTTTATCCTACTTTGAGCCATCACCTTCAACAAACACAAAATTAAAATACATTAAGAGATCCTTCTGAAAGTATGATTATTGAACTAACTGATGTAAAACTTATGTAATTTTCTTTGTTCTAATTGAGTCCTAAATAATATGCACGGGCTATGAACCAGCTGGCGCATCTGTTGACGCATTGATTTTCTACTTATAGAGTTATAGTATAATAATGGATCTCCCATTCTATTTCTGTACCCTAAGTGACACATGGTAGAATAACAATGTTCATAGCCAAAGAGGTAAACAATTGCTTTTATGTTCCAAATTTTAGCTTCATGCAGAAGGAAGCTCAAAACTTGCAGTAGAAATCACCGCACCTGCTTTTGCTCAAGAAGTGCTAATGTCGTCAGTGAATAATCCATTTCTTTCCACAGTTCTTCAAGCTCATCCTCCTCCACCTCTTGGTTATCAGCAGAAGGTGGCCATGTAAAATCCTCTTCTCGATAAGAATGCTGAACGTAATTCATCATATTGGCATCGAAGTTAAACATAGAGTCCCTCTCCATTTCACTCTCAATGTTTCCTATGCATTGGTCAATCATTTGTTTGTATTCTCTCTCGCACATGTGCCTCTTTCTTTTCCCGCCCACCTTTTGGCAGAATGCTGGTTCACAGTTAACACCAAGGGTGCCTGATGAAGTAAATAGCTTCGGCTTACATGAGAAAGGAGGACGATTATGCTTCTCTTTATTCTGTGCAGGTGTCCGTGGAATGTGAAACTCCGGTGCACTTTGCTCTTTTGAGCTTTTCTCCTCTATTTCCACTGAGCTTGGCTCTTCCTTCACAGGCAAAGAGCACGTAGTTCTCTTTATTGTGTTCTTATGCTGTCCTTCTGGAGAGCTTGCTTTTTCCTTCACAGGCAAAGCGCATGTAGTTCTCTTTGTTGTTTTCTCATGCTGTCCTTCTGGAGAGCTTGCTTTTTCCTTCACAAGAGAGCATGTAGTTCTCTTAGTTGTGTTCTTATGCTGTCCTTCTGGAGAGTTTGACTTTTCATCGACCATGGGAGAGTGTACACCTGTTTGCTTCTGTGTAACATTCCCTGGAATCTCTACACAGCATGATTCTACTTCTTTTTTGGAATCGTCTACCGGTGAATCACAATGCACAGCTCCCCTTACATGCTTGGTGGGTGATGAACTTGCTTCTTTCTTCTTGTAGCCACTAAGGAACCTAGGTGTATCGTAACTTGTAAAGCGATCTGGCTGAGTCTTCAAGCGCTTTGAACGCCTCAGATCCACATGCTCATACAAGATCTCAACATCTAATGCCCTATCCAGTTCACTATCCATTTCACTCTTCACAGTGAATCTCATGTCTTCTGTGATATTGTTCTTTTTCACATGAGTGATAGGGATATTTGTGATTGTTGGGCGCAAGGCCTCATCACGCAATTGGAATGATATTATCTCCATTGTATTCCCGAAGCCTGGAGGGATGGCCATGGAATCAAGATTCCATTGTGCTTGATCTCCTTTGATTATTTGATAAACGATCTGGCCTTCTACCAATTTGATGTTGAATTCCATTCCCCTCAAGATCGACAAGACTATCAGATGTGTAATTTCTGAGGAGAATCTAGCACTTATTAGCCTGCCTTTATTAAGAGAGAGGCGATCCTTTGAAAAACTCCATTTCATGCTTCCTTCATGGACCTCAGGTTGAAGCTTTTGCAGGAGGAAAATATCGTTTATGGTTACTACCTCTGCTCTTCTATCAGTTATCACTTTTTCTGCATTGCCAGGACACTGGTTCTTGTAGAGTATAACAACAAACAAGCAGAGACACTTATCTTCTTGATGATTCTTCTTGATTGTGATAAGCCTTGCATCATGACGCAGTAACACCTACCAAAACAAATCAAGAGATAAGATGCTATCAGATGGCATAAATATACTTGCAATCATACAGTTCTTTTCTAAATATACCACAGTATGGACATGTGAAAGATGTGTAAATCAACATACAGTAAATTAAATATGGACACAATATATATGTAAACATACTCCCTCTGTCCCTAAATATAAGAGATTTTAGTTGGATGCGACACATTCTAGTATAATGAATCTGGGCGTGAAGGCTGTACAGATTCGTTGTACTAGGATAAGTCACATCCAACCAAAATCCCTTATATTTAGGGATGGATGGAGTATACAAAACAAACAGTAAATTAACATACAGAAGCGTTTGTTCCTCCTTGTGAACTTGCTTCGGGTGTATGAGATGACTGCACACAGACATCAACACCTGGCTTGAGAACATTTGAACAATCAGAACAAGTCGCCCTTCTCGACCGTAAGCGTAGACAATCCCCATCAACATTATGCTCGACTGTTGATCCAGAGTAGATAAATTTAACAAACAGGTTGCCGTTCCTTATCCTTATACAATTTACCCCATGCCATGATCCATCATAAAACACCTCAAATGCTGCAAGCAAAGGATAGATTCTAAGCTGATCTTGCATATTACCGACCATTATTTTACAAGAAGACATCTCTTGTTTGATCATGGCAATGTTATAGACTATTGACATGCTCGCTCAACGAATATTTGTACTGAAATGTAATGCTCACGAGTTGCACTGATGGGATGGCTCCGATGGTCCACAGGTCCCTTGAGCATCTTGTCAGCAATATTGGTTAAATCTTATGATCTGAAATTCAATTCCCTGCTAAGCAGAATATAGAAAAAACTTACTTCACACTGGAAAGAAAATGATGCAGAAAATATATTTGCAAATTCTACTATCTTTTTTTTATTTTAAAAAAGAAAAACATGAACAGAGAGTCTGAAGCTATCAGCTAATCCAAAATGTTGAGATCGCGGCACAAAACACATCTGCTTTTCAGTGAGAATATTATCATGTACAACAACAAATCATAAAGACTATTAGTAGATACTCCTATAGCGCATTTGCTTGTGTGGCACAACGTTTGCAGTACTAAAGACTACTAGTCGTTCTTTATTTTCTTTGTGCGACCCACCCAGAAGAGCAAGTAGTTATCTGGTGAAACGGTCCATCCTAAGATGGATGAAAAGGTTGGAGGTGCAGAGAGGAGGAGAAGAAGAGGAACAGTCAAGCAGACATTCTGGTTGAAGCAGGTCAATAATAAAAATGGCGATGCGTCATCAATACATAAAACAAGGACAGCGGAAATGAGCAAGTAATATGTGCAGCAGAAAAGAAAGGGCAGGTTCTTGGGGGCGGAAAGGAAAACGAAAACGAAAACAGGAGGAGGAAGAGGATGCAGTCAATCACGCAGGCAATGGAGATTTGGAGGCAGCTAGCTCACTGTTGAGGGTGATGAGCAAACACAAAGGAAAGGGAGGGGAGGGCTGAGCTGAGTTACCTGTAGCACCCATGACCATGAACAAGTAATAAGTGATTCTGAGGGAGAGCAACGGAGAAGCCGAGGAGGAGGATGACCTTGCTTGCTTGCGTTGTGTACTTGTAACTTGTGTGTGTCTGGTCATCTGTTGATGGTGGGTGCATCCAATGAATCCAACTGGATTGAGAAACTCGTGGTGGTGGCACCTGTGCTCTTGTGCAGAGCCGAGGCAACACATGGCAGCACGCACGGTGCCAATGCCAATGCCAATGCTACTCCCCCGTGAATTGAATCATCCGTGCGTGTCCTACTGATATTGAGGCTTCCAAACCTTTTCTTCGATCTTTCAACTTTTCCGTCACATCAAAACTTTTCTACACACATAAACTTCTAACTTTTCCATCACATCGTTTCAATTTTAACCAAACTTTCAATTTTAGTGTGAACTAAACACACCCTCAGATTGAGATTAGCAACACAACACAATGAATGCTGATTTGTCTTGACAATCCTCCCTGCAGCTGTGAAAAGAAACTGTGTCAGTAGTAGTATTTACTCTTGTGTTAGTAGGAGTACTAGTATTTACTGGATTAATTCACCTCCACCAACCTTGCCTCATCACTGTGGAGTTAGCAGATGACCAGCAGTTAGGGCCCCTTTGAATCGCAGGGTAGAAAAAACGGAGGAATAGGAAAAACATAGGATTCTGACAGGAATTGAAGTGTAAAACAGAGGATTGCAAAACACAGGAAAAACACAGGAATAGTCGTTTGATTCGAGCGCAGGAAAAACGCAGGAATCGGATGAGAGAGATAGACTCAAAGGAAATTTTCCAAGAGGTTGGAGCTCTTGCTAAATTTCCTCCAAAATCTACATGCAATGTGTCATTTCATAGGAATTTCATAGGATTTGGAAAGCTTCAATCCTTTGAATCAAAGGGCCAAATAGGAAAATTTCCTATAGGATTTGAATTCTATGAAATTCCTACATAAATCCTTTGATTCAAAGGGGCCCTTAGTAGTTTGTACCGACAACACAATACCGTGTCTGTATGTATGAAACAGAAACATACGACAACCGGTCGGTCTGATACAAAGCATGTACATGTGCATCTTAACAGGGAAAATGCACATATGCAAATGTAGGAGATACAGTTCAGACAGCAAACAGCCAACTTCTTTCAGTCCGTGACTGTGACTTTCAGATGGCTCCAGCTTCTGTGAAATCTTTCACAGGTCGCCATCACCATGAGCCATGACCAGCAGCAGCACCCTGTTCCATAATCCATACTACTACTACTGCTACGCAGCAAAAAAGGAAGGAAAGCATTCCTAAGCAGCCTCCATCCTGTCTCTAGTCATCTTTACAGGCAAAAAAGATGAAGTGCTCCCTAATTAAACGAGGGTGTTTACAGCAATAAGTTTGCCACTGCATGGCATGTGATTACCCTTATTAGAGCAGCTCGTACACTATCTGTCTGGTCTCACCAATAAACATCCATGACAAGAAAACCAGGTTCTTCAGGCTGCATGTAAATAGACCTGATCCAAGACAAATACAACTACTTCTGCATATGCATGGTTTCTAGTAGTAACTGGCTTTTCTGTTCGGATCAAAAGAGACCTGTAACTGAAGTGCCTTGTACTACTAGCATTGCTGCAGTTTCTGAAACAGAGGTGGTCTTTGAAACTGATGATGTAACAAACAGATACAGTTTCAAATACCATATAGTAGACAGCAACACAGATGTTACAGACTGGAGTAGTAGATGGAGCTGTGAGAAATAAGGCAGATGAATTTAAAACAGTTCAGTAAGGAAACAGTAATTCACTTTGTCAATGATAACAATGGCAATCCGCAGAAGGTTTTTTTTTTACTGGGAGTGCAGTTACAAATGTTACCTTTCTTTTCCTTTCCTTAACTCTTTTTGTTTAACTACAGAACGTAACATCTACTAACACAAAACAATTCAATCTCTCAATCTCCTATGTTCACAAGAAAAAAGAATAACTTTACTTTGGAAACTGAATACTCCAGTAGAAGCATGAGACCCCTTTTGCCATCTCAAATGCTTCAGCTCTATCTGCAACCAACAATTCTGAAAGTGGAATTCACCAGCAGTCACCACCACTGATGCACAAGAACGCCGCTCTCTCTGAGCGAACTGAACAGCTCCAAGCACTCATCGTACGTGTTCTGATACTTGGGCGACCGCTCACCAGGGCAGCATTTCTGCCATCGGTTGTAATGGCACTCGAGGAACAGCTCATCGATCAAGCAGATTGCGCCTGTATCAAACAGCCTTGGGATCAAGTCGAATTCTGTCCCCTCCACATCCATCTTCATCACCACATAGTCCTGCTCCGACACCGTGCGCTTGAGCCACTCGGCAAAGTCGAATGCCGGGACACTCCGCACCTCACCGGACATCTTCTTGCCAGCCATGGGGCGGATGCGGCCCATGCCGCGGCCATTAGCCTTGGCCTCATCCTCCTTCCCGGGATCAGCATTGATCTCAAAATTGAGGGTCTCATTCTTGACCCAAGCAGCATATGGAAGCAACGTGACAGCCTTCTTTGCGGCGTACTCAGAGTGGAAGGCCGGGTCGGCCTCAATGGCAAACACCTGGAATGTATGGTTCTGCTTGGGGTAGTGCTTCCGGAACCAGCTGCCGATACTGGAGCCATAGCTACGGGCGCCAACATCAACATACACATAGTTGCGCTTGAAGCTGATGTCTGCGAGAGTTGGGAGATACTTTATGTTCTTGATGTTCCGCTTTAGCGTGATCCATGGCTTGCGCGGCTCCTCTTGGATGAGTGGCTCCGCATGTGTGAGGAGTTGGAGCTTGTGATCCCCAATTGTGCACTTGTTTACAGGATCGTCAGTGGAGTCCTGGATCTTCTGGAAGACGAGCTCCCGCAGGGTGGAGTCGTCGGGGCCTTTGATCTGGCGAGATCGGAGCAAGCGGAGAGAGGGGAGGAGTGCCTGGAGCGCGCGGAGGCTGAATGCGTCGGCGGCGCTGGTAGTGAGGACGACGAGATGTCCATCTGGCTTCAAGATCCGCGCGGACTCGGCGGCGAGGTCAGCCGGGCGCTTGGAGGAGTCGAGGGCGCGGGCGGCGAAGACGAAGTCGACGGAGGAGTCCTGGAAGGGGAGGCGGCGGTCGTTCCCGGCGACGGCGAGCGGGGGGGAGCGCTTCCTGGCGACGGCGACGGCGGTGGAGACGCCGAGCTCGCGCATGGCGAGGGCCTCCTGCACGGCGCCGAGGCAGACGGCGCGGGAGGTCGGGGAGAGGATGCCGTCGGCGAGGTGGGGGGCGAGGAGGGTGGCGTGGTAGTCGACGGCCTTCCGCCAGTCGCGGGTGCGCCAGGCGTCGGGGGTGGCGACGGCGGAGTGGAGGTAGGTCTTGGAGCCAAGGACGGCGGCGGCGGGGAGGGGCGGGTAGAGCGCCATGCCGGCGAGGAAGGCGGCGTAGATGAGGCGGAGGGCGAGGGCGGCGACGGCGAGGAGGAGGGCCCGCGTGAGGAGAGTGCACCTGCGGCTGCGGGCGGGGGGGTCCATGAGCATGAGCATGGATGGATCTAGGATGTAGGGGGCGGGGCGGAAGAGGAAAAGTAGTAGTGGAGTGAGTGAGGGCGAGGTTAGCCGGGGGAAGGCAGGCTAGCGGCGGGAGGTGGTGGTTGCCGCCGACGAGGAGGAGGAGGAGCAGCAGCAGAAGTGGTAGTGGTGGTGGGAAAGGGAGAAGGAGATTCCACCATCGATCCCCTCAAATCTGGAGGTGAATTCCCGGCCTCTTCATCGATCTCATCGTCGGGAATTCAGGGGGCGACGGAGACGATCCATGGAGATGGAGTGGAGGCCGTTTCCTTTCCTTTCCTTTCCTTTCCTTACCACCTTGGGAGTCTGGCTATGGTGGGCCCCATCTCTGCGGTGGCCTTTCGTCCTCGTATTCCTCCGGATATTACTCTTCTGCCATTGCCTTATTTTTTCTTTTCAGATGATGCCCCCTCTCCCCAGTCAAGGACTTTGCAACGCATCTAGGAGTAGTACATACCAAGGCAGTGTGCAGGGCAAAGGGTTTATATAGAAATTTTATAGGATTCAAATCCTATAGAAAATTTTCTATTTGCCTCTTTGATTTAAAGGATTGAAGCTTTCTAAATTCTATAAAATTCCTATGGAATAGCACATTGCATATGGATTTTGGAGGAAATTTAGCAAGAGCTCCAACCTCTTGGAAAATTTCCTTTGAGTCTATCTCTCTCGTCCGATTCCTGCGTTTTTTCCTGCGCTCAAATCAAACGACTATTCCTGTGTTTTGCAATCCTCTGTTTTACAATTCAATTCCTATCAGAATCCTGTATTTTTCCTAATCCTCCATTTTTTCAACCCTGCAATTCAAAAGGGCTCTTAGTGTCCTTCAAACTTCCCAAAAAATTTCATCGCATCAAATGTTTGAGCACATGCATAAAACATTAGATATGGATAAAAAAAATCAATTGCACAATTTACACATGTAAATTACAAGACGAATCTTTTGAGCCTAATTACGCCATGAGTTGATAATGTGATGCTACAGTAAACATTTACTAATGACGGATTAATTAGGCTTAATAAATTCGTCTCGTAGTTTACAGATGAAATATGTTATTTGTTTTGTTATTAGTTTACGTTTAATAATTCAAATGTGTATTACATCACCTCAAGGTCTTCGAGTCCTCATTGAGAATAGCCTACCTGGGTATGAATCTAAAACACATAATGTCGTATACTCTGAAATATTTAGTAATATTGTGAATTAGCGTGGTTAGCTTTACCAGGTATTTTCATACGGTCAATAACTCAACATATATGTATACATATGCCTCGGTTTTATACATCAATCGTTCTAACACGTGGACCGTGTGTACTTCCATTTTCATCTTTTTTATTCTCCTGAATCAATGGGTACAACTCAGCTAGCTATGCTTTTTTTTATATATAAATGCAGATTTCACTACCCATATGTTGCACCTATGGTACCCAAAGTCATCGAACACGTTTTATGATTATTCCTTGGTTTTTTCCCTATTGCATCATACGGTTATTAAAAAAAACAAAGGTAAATTTCTTTTAAAGACTGTATGGGTTCAGCTTGCCCTCAGTATACATGGATTCATCATTTCTAGATGCTCTCCTGTCATGTTTGATATGCACATGGCAGTAAATATTGATGCATATATTTATATTTAGCAAATGTAGGTTAAAAATTTATTCGTAGTTTTTCCATTTCCTTCCTATGGATCGCTTACCGAATTCTGTTATTACAAGACAAACAAATTGTTCCATTCATTCCAACTGTTGTGCCTCCACACGTACAAAATTAGTTCCCTTTTAATTTTACTTACGCACGCTTATAGTGTGTAGTGTGTGCTATTTATTTTCATTCAACTTTGTGGTTTGCTAAACGAATTATGGACAGCTCTGTATGTATACCGAGCTCAGTGTGATACAATTCAAAACATTATATGATGTTTTACTCTGCCCAGATATGTGAACTCAATTTAATCATATTGCTTACTTTTTAAACTTAACATGATAATCATGCTTTGATTAATTGTTATCATGACAATATTCTACCTGCTTCCTTTTTTTTTCATATGCTTGCAGGTTCCTCAGGTTGTGCTTATGGTTCGGTGCTTTCCGTGTAGGTTGATCGGTGCGAATGACAACCAAACGTGCAAAACTCTTGCCATTAACTATCATTTGTTTTATTACCATGCTATAGCTTTTTATATGTTTACTATTATGCAAAATTTTCTATGCAATGCACTATGCAGAATATATGATTATGTTGTATACGCTCCAACATCACGCGCCACTTGGCCTGATGTCAATGTTCTTATGCCTATGATGGGTTGGTGTTGTATAGCATCCAGCTTTCACAATTTCTATCTATACAATTAATTGGGCTAATATGATAACACTAATATTCGGGCACATATAACTTTGTTACTCTTGCATGGTGATGTTTAGATTGTCTCCATACAGTTCATCTTCTATCAACATACTTTTTTATTTTATTTATGTGTTTGTTTCTCAATCCTATCTTACTATAAAGTTATCCCCCACTAACTCCTTAAAATTAACGTGCAAAGATGCCATATCATCATCCATTAATTAACAAGATGTCACATCATCATCCACTAACAATCATCACATTTAAACATCATGCAAACATGCTATATCTTTATAGTTTTTATAATTTAAGAGCTTTTCAAATACAAACATGTTAAATTATCATCCAACATAATTCACATAATGTTTCAATGTATTTCTTCATGCAAAGATGCAACATCATCATCCACTAATTAACAAGATGCCACATCATCATCCACTAACAATCATCACATTTAAACATCATGCAAACATGCTATATCTTTATATTTTTATAATTTAAGAGCTTTTCAAACACAAACATGTTAAATTATCATCCAACATAATTCACATAATGTTTCAATGTATATCTTCATACTAAATTCCCGCAGCAATGCGCGGGGTTTCACCTAGTTATACTTATAACAGTGTCCACGGCTTTGCCGTGGGGGTACAACCTAGTTGTACTAGTATCTGATGAGGCCTCCGTATATTTAGCTTGAGTCATAGTGTCTCACGTACTACCAGAACTACTATTACAATACAAATGCATTAGACCCCCTTTGAATCAAAGGAATTATGAATGAATTTCATAGGATTGAAATCCTATAGGAAATATTTCTATGTAACCCTTTAATTCAAAGTATTGAAATTTTATAAATCCTACAAAATTCCTATGGAATGGCTTATTGCATATAGGTTTTGGAGGAAACTTAGCAAGAGGTCCAACCTCTTGGAAAAAATCCTTTGAGTCTATCTCTCTCATCTGATTCTTGTGTTTTTCCTGTGGTCCAATCAAACGATCATTCATGTGTTTTGCAATCCTATGTTTTACACTTACATTTCTATCCGAATTCTATGTTTTTCATATTTCTCCGTTTTTTCATTCGTACGATTCAAAGGAGTCCTTAACCTGAGCCATCTGGAGGGTTGTCGTCAAAGTGTTCGTAGGAGAGTTTTTTCTTTAGGGAAAATTGCTTATTTGACCCTGTTCTGAAGTCTAATTATCAATTTGACCTTTCTTTTTCAAGTTTGCTTATTTGACCCTATTTTTCAAGTTGTCGTCTGACCCTGTTTTGACTGCACCGCTAGGGTTTCATTTAGCAAAATAAAAAAATATATATATTTACAAGCACAACTGACCAAAATACCCTTAGTATATATTAACCCTATCCTTAAATTTCTCGCCACTCCTTCCTTATCCTCTCCCTCTCTCTCTCTCTCCTCTCACCAGAAGCTCTCCTCGCCGTCCTCGTGTAGAAGCGATGCACGGCGGCAGGGGAAGGGGCGACGGCGGCTTCACGAAGAGGAGCGGCGGTGGCGGTGGCTCAGCGACGAGGAGGAGGGGCGGCGGGAGGAGCTGCGGCTCGGCGGCGCGATGCGGAGGGCCGCCGCTGGCGGCGGATGCGGAGGAGCGGCAGCTCGGCGACTAGGAAGGCCAGAGGCAGCTGCGGCTGTGGAGGGGCGGCGAGAGGAGCGGCGTCTTGGCGGCGCGACGCGGAGGGCCGCCGCTGGGCGCTGGCGGCGGATGCGGAGGAGCGGCGGCGGAGGGGCAGCGGCCGCTCGGCGACGAGGAAGGCCGCCGCTGCCGGCGGAGGAGGAGAGGCGGCGGCTCGGCGACGAGGAGGGCTACCGCTGGCGACGACGGGCGGCGTTGGCTCGGTGACGAGGAGGGCGGCCGCTGGCGGCGAACGAGCGGTGGCTGCAGCTGCGGAGGGGCGGTGTCGGCTCGGCGACGAGGAAGACGACCGACGACGGCGGCGCTGGCTCGGCGGTAGCTGCAGAGGGGCGACGTCGGCTCGTCGACGAGGAGGACGGCCGGCTGCAATTGCCCCTAATACGTACTATGACTGCCGTTGTTGAGGGAGAATGAGGTCAAATAAGCAAGGGTAGTAGTGGTATTTTGGGCTTTTTTGAAATGCCCTTAACAGAAGAGGATCAGAGTGGACCTTTGGTTTTGAAAAGGATGGGCAAATAAGCAGAGTGACAAAATCAGAGTCAAATTGGTAGTTAGACCTTAAAATAGGGTTAAATGTGTAATTACCCTTTTTTTATTATTAAACGTAGGAGAGTATTGGAGCAAGAGAAGAGAAGGTTGGAGTAGTTTTGGAGCCGTTGAAACTGGTTTTCCTGGCACGTGATCCTGCTACATCTACTGCACCGTTGGTCCAAAGCCCAAAGGTATCCTCTGCACTGCACTACTGCAAGTCTGCAACTTACCCGCCACAGCCAGGGGTACTATCGGAACTCTCTACTCTATTCAGTATTCACCCACGCCACGCGGTTTCAGTTTATCTTCTCTGCCCACTGCCCGGCGATCTGTCTCTCTCTGTTTTTTTTAGACAATGGCAACATCGATCAGCAGCAGCAGCTTGTCACGTGACATATGGGCCAGGTCCGGCCCACCATGCACCAGCTGGCCAGCCACCTGCTTAATTTCCTTTTCGCTTTTGCTTTGCTTCTTAATTTCCATTACTGTCAGAATCGAGTACTAATTAATCCATATGATCGATATGATCGGCCTCCACATTCCTGAATCTTCTTCCTTCTGGCCTTATTTTGACAAGGACACGGCCCACTCCGATCCTCATCCTACGGGTGAAGTGCTAGATTGAAATGCTAAGAATAATGCTATACGTACTACCTGTATGTCCGACCAGCGTACGACCAAACGGTAAAACAACTCAGCACGTAACTGAGTATGGTGACAACATGGCTTGGTTATACGGAGATTAACGTCACGAGCTCACGGCGTTAAGGTCGTTCTAAAGTCAGACAAGTTTAGTCGTACGTATAGTATTTTTCAAATGCTAATTACTACTATCTCCGTTTCAAGTTATAAGACTTTCTAGTATATGTGTCTAGATTCATTAACATTTATATGGATGTGAACAATGCTATAAAGTTTTACAATATAAAACGGATGAAGTACTGTATTACTTATCAATTACTACTAATTTCATCTTCTCTCTAATTAATCTGTCACGCAAGCATGCATGCATAATACTCCAGTCTCCAGATTGCTTAACCAGCTCAACAAGCATCCAGACGAGACGACAGAGACATCGACCAGACCAGCCTTTCCGGCCTTTACTGGACTACTTTAGCTTTCTTCCTCCATCAAAAAGCCATAAAACCAAAGCAAATTGATCTCATCTTCCACACCACCATTACCCATACTCCGTACCTTATTACCTGCCATGCCTACGGCTACGTGTATACTCCCTTCGTTCTTAAAAAAAGCAAATCCTAAATTTTCGTGTCTAATTTTGACTGTCCGTCTTATATAAAATTTTTTTATAATTCGTATTTTCATTATTGTTAGATGATAAAACATGATTAATATTTTATGCGTGACTTGTCTTTTTATTTTTTTTCATAATCTTTTTAAATAAGACGGACGGTCAAACGTTGGACACGGAAACCAGGATTTGTCTTTTTTTGGGACGGAGGGAGTATATAAGTACCAGCTATATATGATTTTTAAGTCCACCTTTTTTAAGTACTATATATAAAGATTAACTAATTATTTCGGATGCCCACCACTAGCTCTGTGTATCGATCTGCTGCTTTGTACACCATCATATCATATCGATTCATTGATTTGCTTGCCAACGAAGGCATGGCGATGGTCGCCTCCCCCGACGACATCGTCAAGTCACCGCTGCCGCCGCCACCGCCACCGCCACCGCCACCTCTGCCGCCCGCCCACAAGGACAAGGCCGCGTACAACCCCTACAGCGGCTGTCCGGCGCACGGCGGCGACGACGGCCTCGACGGGATCGTCCTGGTGCTACGCGCCGCCGCGGCGCTGCTGGCCTTGGTGGCCATGGCGCTCGTGGCCTCATGCCGCCACGGGGACTGGATGGAGTTCACGCGCTACCAGGAGTATCGCTACCTTCTCGGGGTCGCCGTCGTCGCCTCCCTCTACTCCGCGCTGCAGGCGGCGCGGACCTTTCGCCGGATGCGCGCCGGCACCGCCTACGCCGCCACCTTTCTTGATTTCGCCGGCGATCAGGTCGGTCAGTCATCGCCACCTTTTTTGTGATATGATGATGATCGATGAACAAACTAAGTTAACAGTGGAATGAATTGAAATGAATTTGGTGCATGCATGCTTGCAGGCAGTGGGGTACTTGCTGATAACGGCGTCGTCGGCTGCTCTTCCGATCACCATCCGAATGAGATCAGCGGTGGTGAACACCTTCACGGACGTCGTCGCAGCCTCCATCAGCTTCGCCTTCCTTGCCTTTGCCGCCCTCGCCTTCTCCGCCTTGATCGCCGGCTTCAGGCTCTCCTCCTCCTCCTCCTCCGCCTACAACTACTAACTCTTTTTCTTTTTTACTGATCATCATGTATTGTTTCAACAAGGGGCCCGGCCCATTTAATTGCTATATGCTTGGCATATATATTGGCATGGGCTCCAACTTAATAGGCCTGACTGCCTGCCTCACTCTCTTACTCTTCTTCTTCTTGGTTGCACACTTGCACTATAGACATGCCTGTATGTTGTAACGCCATACATGAGTAGGCTGTTTAAGTTTTCTACAGTATAATACTCCGTAGTTGTTTCTACCAATTTTTTTTGGTTTTCTACGGGACCTTTTTTTTTTCTTGAGGGCGGTTTGTTTGGAATTTCTTTTTAATTAGGAGCGTCCGTGCATGGAATCGTACGAGGACAACGACTGTATGTTTGTAAAAGTAGCGGAGATTAGTGTATGTCTGTGATATTCTACTCCCAATCAGCGACGTTCGTTAGTATTATTAGAGCATCCCTAACAGATCATCTATCCGATCATCGATGTGAGAAATAGCTTATGAAAGTGAAAAATGAGCCTCCAGCATACACGCTACCGCATACTCCAAAAATAGCGCATCCGCTAAACTGGATAGAGGAATGCCAATTCTGGGGGAGAGGGTGGAGGAGTGTGCAGCCCTGGAGTGAGGTGGAGAGAGAGGGGTGTACCAAATCTGGGGGTGGACCGCTGCAGCAGGTGCATCGCCAGCGACAGTGCAAAAGTGGCCACAGCCATGGGCAAAAACGTCTACGAAAAATATTTTGGATGAAAAATGTTTTACAAACGCAAGAAACAACAAAAATGACATTATAGAGAATGCCTACGGCTTGAGTGGCATTCGAGCGAATCACATTTTAACAATAGTAGCGAAACCGGTTTTTAACGATGGCACATGCAAATTACTCAAAGAATGCACATACCAATTTAAAGAAAATGGTTTACTCATTCCAATATAGCAATTAAAAAAATTATACATTACAAATATGTCAGTTAAAATATACTTATATTAAAAGATTATTCGTGATAAATAATATCGCTAAATTTTTGTTGTTCAAAATATAGCCCTTGAAAAAAAACAGAAATATGGTTATTGAAAGATATTAATAAAATATAGAAGGGTGTGATATGAAGGATGTAATATAAATGATGGGATATGGAGGATAAAATTTAGATAAGGTGTTGGGATGGTCTTACTCCTTTAGTGCTACGGGCCCAAAAAATATATGCTATTGACGGGCTGACCGGCCTCCACGGCCCACGTACCACAATATGGCCCGTAGTCTCGTTCAAGATGCTGAACTTACATCATCATCTTGAGCTGTTGTGCTTGTATAATCTTCAAATGTGCCCAATGTTTCCTAGATGTACAAAGTAGCATAATCTGTTTGTCTGCATTGCGCATGGCGAACAAGCATTTTTTATCTTGCTTTAAATGTGTAATACAGGAGAAAAAGGAAAAATATGCCACTCTGTTGTTAATAGATGATCACTGCTCTATGCCTCTGTTTAAAAAAAATGATGAGAGAATCGCTGAATGAAATCATTAATCACCTCACACAATGGAAACTTTATAGGTCAAAAACATATCAATACGGCCATTCTATATACATACACTGTCAATAGTAGCTGAACGTTATTTTCTTTTTAAGCACTGGTTTTTAAATCACTATAAATACACTTATAAAAGTTTTACCTATAAATTATCTGTTTTCGATAATAAGCCTTGTTTTCAATAATAAGCCTTTACGGCTTACAATTTGTCGACGGGGGATACCCGTAGACTGGATATAGAGAGTATTGGGGTACGCTGGTACGAGGATCTACGTAGTACGACATCAAGCAAACAGGAAACATGGATTATACTGGTTCAGGCCCCTTGGTAGGTAATAGCCCTAATCTAGTTGATATGGGATTATATGGTGGAAACCACATATTACAAATGAAACAGTAGAACTCGACGATACCAACGAGATCGTAGTCGAATTGATCCGACTAGATCTCCCGGCGACTTGGCTCCGATAAGCTCCGGCTTCGTAGGCTGTGGTGGATGTTTTAGCTCTGAGATTCGATGCCTTAGGTCCTCCCGGAGGGTCCCTTTTATATCGCAGGTCAACTGTCTCCAAGTAGGACTCGGAGAAGCCGGACCGAACACGACACAATGACGACCCAGTTCTGATCGAGTAGGACTCCTTCCATCTGTGAACTCCATGATGAATTTCCTTAACGTATGCCGAACACGTCCGTATACGCGTGAGCATACCATGTCGATACGTGACGTATATCGAAGGGTAGAGGATATACCTTATCCGTAACCCTGACAGTAGCCCCCGACTTCTGCTTAAATGAACTCGTGAAACCGATCGTGACTTCTGATGTCGAAGTTGTCGTCGTTCTCGGCGTGATGACCGAGAGAAAAGGAGTGATCGACAACGCCGGGTGAAGCTCAATGGTCATGAGTGAATTTAAATTGAAGTCCGAGAAACTACCGCGCGTAACGAACCCAGAAATTTCTGGCGGCCATCTCTCTCCTTTCCTTGGAATTCGCACCATCGGGGGTGCGTCTATTTAAGGTAGTTTTGGGGATCCAATTTGAGGTCCGCCTGTTGAAAAAACTCTCCAGCTTCCAAGCGTCCCTCGTCTTCTTCGCTCCCGCAAAAACCCTAGCTAACTCATCTCGGTCCTTTCTCCGGCGATCTCCGGTGGCCATGGATCTCGACAAGTCTACCTCCACCAGTGCGTCACTGAAGAAACTGCAGGAGGATGGCGCCCTTCCCGGTCGCGGGACCGCGGAGAGGGAAGTAGGAGGTACTGAACCCCAGCCTGTCCTGGGTCGCATGGTTACGGTTGAGGACTTTATTCTCTGCGGTTTTCTTCCTCCACCTTCTGAATTTCTCCTTTTGGTCTTGAATTTCTATGGTCCTTCCTTGCTCCATTTGAACCCCAACTCCATCGCCTTCCTGAGTATTTTTACGTATCTTTGTGAGGTCTACATTGGGGTGGAGCCGTTTCTTGACCTCTTCCGCTTTTACTATGAGTTACGCTGGATGGAATCCAAAAAGGTATCCGGGTGTGTTGGTTTCCGACTTCGGGATGGCCTGTAGTCGCGATACATCCCCTTTCAGTGCCCCTCATCTCGCAGCAAATGGCGGGGGAGGTGGTTCTATCTTCAGATAGAGGACTAGAAAATTAGCGCGCCAAGTGGCGCGCTCATTATAGCCCGTGTGTACTTGTTAAGTAGTTTCCAAAATTCATGCCTATAAAAGGTTGGTAAATGAAATATTCAATGGTGTTATTAACCGATGCAACAAGTTAAGCTAAATTAGCTTCCATGGCACTTATGCTAAAAAAAGTAACTATTACCCTTTAAGAACAATCATCAAAAACTGGATAGAACCATAGATAAATATATATTTACATGAATTCACTAAGATAAAAAAGCCTGACACTACCACAGTTGTATACAGTTTTTTTTAAAGAATACAGTCGTTTCCGGTCTAGCTTCTAGCTACGGCACAAAGAAGAAACACAACAATGTAGTTACACAAAAAAATTTTAGAACCATAGTCTTTCACATATTTTAAATCCGGAGGTCATGATTTCGAGCACCTTGTAGGCGGCAACAATTTATATCTTTGGTATCTTGCATATCCCTAGAAATATAAGGAGGTGAAGACAAATTAGTTGGACCTATACTGACTATAGAAGGAGATCAAGAGCAAGAGACAAGGTTAAGCCAGATTGTTCTGGTGGGCTAGTGGCACAGCAGCAAAAGCTATCAGAGACATGGCAGTAAAACTATGACTATTTTTAGATTAAAACAGCAGTTCGAGATCTAAAGGAAAACTATTGTTTGTCAATTGTTAGTTCTTATTATGGGTGCATTCAAATGATAATAGAACAACCTGTTGATAGGCCCATCAAAGTGATAACATCCACCCAACAGAACAAAAAGGATGGGGGAGAGGGATACAGAGAAAAAAAATCTCTTTAGGAAATATTTTATCTTTATATATTTGTCAGATAATCGCAAAAATCCATGTTCAGATAACACTATATTTTTTCAATATATAGAGAATGTGGATAGAAATATAACAAGCTCATGATGTATTAACTTAAGAATGTGGTCATCATGAACAGTTGCAATCGATCGCAACTTCAAAATTTCTGAAGTAATACTCAGGACAATCCCCTTGAATAGAACACTTGCAAGTTGCAATGAGCGCACTAACCAATTATGATGCAAATGTCAGTAAATTGCGCCACTTTTATAGATCATTTTCTTTTGTCAGGAGGAGAAGTACTCTCGAAATAAACTACTGAGCAGGATTGAGACCAAAGAAAAAACTATGTATCAATGCAGAATTATTTTCATGATTATAAATGTTATTAGAAAGGGTATTCAGGAAAAAAAATCAAACTTGAGTTTTGTCAAGAACCATTCCTGATTATGTTCTTCTAGCGCATTAATATTTCTGTTCTAGATTATGCTAACTGTATATATACTAATAGCTCTAACTCATGTATAATTCGATTGCTGCTACGATGGAATCAGTAATACATAACTTAACTGATTAGTAATCCATATAAGAGTTCCATAACTTAGCATCAAATTCTGCAATTTCTAGTTGTGTGTTTCTCCTGGATTTCTGCAGAAGAAGTATAGTAGCAATAGAGCAATTAATACACTATCCAACAAAATAGTCCTAACTGTGCTATCAAATGCAACTCTAAGAAAGAACAAGATATATTCTTTCTTGGTCATTTCATCGAACACCATGAATGCACAGTTCGCACTACAAATCAGCAACCACACGTTCAGGAAAATAAATTGAACAAACATTACACTGTAGCTTGCTCACCACTGCTGGCCATGGCGACGACCGATAAGCGTGCTCTGCTGGCCGCTGAGAATGGCCATGGCGGCGGCGGTCCAGTCGCCGTGTCGTTCAACACCAATGCCATCGTCTTGCTCGCCCTCCTCGTCTGCGGCCTCGGCGCGGTCGCGCTCCACGTCGTCCTCCAGTGCGTGCTCCGCGTCATGCCGTAGGCTGGGATCCCTGTCGTTGGCTCACCGGCGCCGTTACCGGGAGCGGGAGGCGTCGAGATGAGATCGATTGGAAGGGGAAGAGGCATGAGGTCGATCGACCCTTCAGGAGAGGACGAGAGGCTAACTTTTTTGCATTTTACTCCTTCGCTAGATCATATTTTACATTTTAGCCCTTCGCGGGAAGAGCGTATGCACGAACCATGCAGCGCCACGTGGCCTCGCTAATCGCACGCTAATCTGCATAGATTTCGATATATAGAGATTCGGATCCGGTCTTCGTTGTTCCTGAGGAGCAACCAGACAAGGTTCCATCTTGGACTACCAAACCCGCCTTGACCCAGTCCCTCCAATCTTTCATCGATATCGTTGACGACCTCCGAGAACAGGGGTTGTCGGGGTATGAAGTTGCTGCCGACTTCATTGGTAGGCGGATCCAGCCGCTTCAAGCTCGAGCCCATCCTGCCTTTGATTATTCTGGGCCAGAGGGCGTGACCCGGGTTTCTCCTCGGGGTATTTCCTTTTTAGTTAAATTGACTCCCTTATGCGCGTGTTCTTCTCGGCTTATCGGATTCTGGTCTCGATCTACAGGCTTGGATAGCGCAACCGTGGAGCGCCGTGTCAGCCAACTGATGATCAACGGCCCGACAACGGCGAGCAACGTCCCCGTCCCCCTTTGCGAGAAAGGGGCAGCCGAGCGCAACGCTGCCATCAATGTAAGTGTACTCAGCGGTCCTTTTGCATTTTTCTTCCGGGATCGCATTATGACTTCATGAAGCGTAGGCTCTCCCTCTGACTGATATCATCGGGCCACTCGTGGACCATCAGGTGGTGGCGTCGCTGAAGGAGAAGGTCGCCAAGGAGGCGTCTGACTCTGCTGCTGCCGCTGCCACAACGAGTGGCGGCGACGTTCCGAAAAAGGGGAGGAAATTCTCCTCTGTAGTCGGACATCGTCGGAAGACACCCACCCCTCCGGTAAGTTCTCCTGTTATTTGATCACGTAGTCAGAAAACTCCCACCTCACATCATATCATTTGTACTCCAGGCCTCGGACGCGTCTCCCCCGCCTCCGCGACGGCAGCGGCTTGTGACGCTCAACGAGAAGTGAGTGAATGAATTTGAGGTTTTGTGATTTTGTTGAACTCTGTCTCAATCGCAGCCTTTCGCAGGGCAGCGCGGGCGAAGGTGGCGCAAGGTGGGTCTGGAGGGACCTCCAGCGCGTCTCCTGCCGTGGCCTCGACGGATGTCGTAGTCGTGCCCAGGAGTCGTGAGGCGACACCTAGCGGCCCAGCCAGCAATCTCGTGGCTGGTCATGGTTCGCCGGCTGCCGTCCTCACCTGGGAATAGCTCCAGGTTGAGATGGGGCGCCTCCTCGAGGCTGGTGCTCGCGGTGTTAGCCACGAGATCGCGGAGGCGAGGGCGGCGGCTACATCGTCGGCGAACGAGCGTGCCGATCGGCTGGCGCATGATCTGGCGGAGGTTTGCAAGGACCTCCAGAAGATGAGGGAACTGGTGGCCGGCAACGAGCGACAACGGCAGGGGCTCGAGCACCGCATGTCGGAGGTTGAGAACAACTTGTTGGAAATCCGTGGCTCGTTGCGGGTCACCTATACTGGTCTGCACCATCTCGCCGGGGAGTGCGGTATCAAGTCCACCATCCCGACGAATCCTGATGAGTTCTCGCTGACGTCTTCTCTTGCGAAGCTGGTGACGGCGATGGAGGAGATCCCCTCCAAGCATGCGGCCAGGATCGGAGAGGAAACGTCTAACGGGATCTACACCGGGGTGTGCCACGTCCTTGCGTGTGTGAGGCTGGCGCACCCTGAACTCGATCTGCAGAAGATCTTGGATCAAGGGGTGGCTAGCGACGCGCGCAAGGATGTGATGGAGGAGGTCGGTGATCTGGGGGAGTCCGTCCTCCCGCTTTTTGAAGAGTAGGGTCTTAGCTCTCTTGTACTCTTTAGTCATGCTTTGTAAGACTTTTATTGGTCCCAACCGCCCCAGTGTGTGCGGTCATTGCCTTAGCTTTGTTTAGCATTTTGATCTCGAGTACTTTGTTGTCCTTTGTAGAGATGTTGATGTCGAGGATGTCCAGCAGCGCGGGCAGCCTGAGTTGCCAGTGGTCGTTCCGTTACTTGTGTCCGAACCACATGTGCCGGAAGGCGATGTAGATCGAAGTTCGCCTGTGGAAACGAGCATGGCGACGACTCCGTTAGGTTGGTTGTCTTTGTTACCATTTCCTTTGCCCTTCCGTCTGGATCGACTTGATTGTTGTGTTCTCGGGAGAGAAGAGCAGCTTGACTTAGTCGTTTCCATGCTGAGCAGATCTCGAGAGTGCGCTTGCTGACCAGGATCGTCGCATCCAGTATTGGAGGACGAAGTTTGAGGTCACGGAACTCGGGAGGACTATGCTGGAGGTGAGAAAGGACCAGGCCGTAGAGACACTCCGGGGTCGTGAGGTGTGGTTCAACTCGTATCTGAAGAGTTGCTGCACATCCATGTCAAGAGTCTGTAGAGAGCTCCGAGTACCCCGTGGGGATCCCGAGGAATCGGCGGCCGAAAACATCTTGTGGCTGAATGGGGTCTGCGCCCAGCTCGAAGGCATCGGTCAACGTATCGACGAGGCCTTGAAGCAGGAGTGTCGTCGCTCAAGCCGATATGCCGGGTTGAACAAGCACTGATCCTAGCCCCCAGCCGTGAAGTTGGAAAGTTTATTTCCGATTACACGGCTTGGTTAATACGCACGACGAGAACTCTTACACGACCAGATCTTACATGGTCTTTCGTCTCTATAGGATCCGACAAGGCCTTATCGGCTCTGGGCGTCCCCAGCCGAAGTTCCCTTAGGTTCCTCGGAGGCCTTGTCAAGACGGCGTAAAGGGACATGAGGATAGGTTTCAACGCTAAGTGTCATCTGGGTAAGGGATCATCGGGAGGAACACTTTGATTGTAGTCTGTACCTGAAAATTAGGCTTTATTGAGGCTGTAAGATGTCTTAAAAGTATGGATACTATTGACTTATACATAGAATTTACGTAATTGATCAATGTTCCAGGAATTTGCCAACTCGCGACCATCGCCGTCTGCGATTTTGAATGCGCCTGGCCGCAGAACTTGTGTGATCATGTACGGTCCTTCCTATTTGGGTGAGAGCTTGTTGCGCCCTGCTTGGCTTTGAACCCGTCGGAGGACGTAGTCGCCGATCGAAAGCGTGCGTGCTCGGATGCGCTTCTCGTGGTAACGGAGAAGGGCTTGTTGGTAGCTGGCTGCTCGAACGGCAACTCGTTCGCGATGTTTCTCGAGTAGATTCACATCGTTGTATCGCTGCTCCTCCTGATCCTCATCGGAATACTTCTGTACTCGTGTACTTTTATGTCATAGCTCGGTGGGGAGCATGGCCTCTGAGCCGTACACGAGGAAGAAGGGTGTCTCCTTGTTGGACGTTGTCGGTGTGGTCGCACGGCCCATAGTACTGATGGAAGTTCCTCGACCCACTTCTTGTCGTGTGACATGAGCCTATCGTAGACGCGGGTCTTGATTCCTTGTAGTACTATGCCGTTTGCCCTCTCGACTTGTCCATTGCTCTGAGGGTGAGAAACCGAGGCGAAGCAGATCTTGACTCCCAGCCTGATGCAGTAATCCTAGAAATCGGCACTGATGAACTGGGAGCCGTTGTCTGTTATGATACGGTGGGGCAATTCGAATCTGCAGAATATCCCTTTGATAAATTTGATGGCGTTGTCGGCCTTACTTTCCCCCGTGGGTGTCGCTTCAATCCACTTGGTGAATTTGTCGATCGCCACGAATAGGAACCTGTAGCCGCCCTGTCCTCGTGGGAATGGCCCGAGTATATCTAGCCCCCAGCACGAGAACGGCCAAGTGAGAGGGATAGTCTAGAGTGCTTGCGCTGGCAGCTTTATGTGTTTACTGTGGAATTGACAGGCTTCACACCGCTGAACCATGTCACAGGCATCTTTGAGGGCGGTTGGCCAGAAAAACCCTTGTCGGAAAACTTTTCCGACTAATGTCCGACTGGCGGCATGTGACCCATAGATCCCTTCATGTATGTCGAGGAGGAGGTGTCTGCCGTCGTCGGATGAGACGCATTTTAGGAGTACCCCGTTTGGTGCCTTCTTATATAGATCGGCTTCTGCGTCGTCCTCGGGCAACTCTTCGCTGCCTATGAATTTAATGAGTGGGGTGCGCCAGTCGTTTGTGGTCTCGATATCGGCAACGGCGCGCTCTGCCTCTGTAGCCCCCGAGCCGATGTTGGGGGCGACTGGGCTATCTTCGCCGGTTGCCTCTTTCACTGATGGCCTCGTCAGGACGTCCAGAAAGGTGCCAGGTTCAAGTGGTTCTCGTCTGGATGCATGTCGTGCTAGATCATCCGATTCGATGTTGTCTTTGCGGTATACATGTCGGACCTCGATCCCATCGAACCTTTTTTCCAGCTTCTTGACTTCTGCGAGATACTTGGATAACTCAGGGCTAGAGGACTTGTAATCTTTATGCACCTGATTTGCGACTAGTTCGGAGTCCCCTTTCACGATCAGTCGCCTGACTCCAAGTGCAGCTGCAGCTCTTATCCCGGCGAGTAGTCCTTCGTATTCGGTTATGTTATTGGTTGCCCTGAAGTTGAGGTGAATTGCATGCTTGAATTGATCTCCCGAAGGTGATGTCAAGATGAATCCTGCCCCTGCTCCCTGGCTGTTGAGTGCACCGTCAAACGCCATTGTCTGACCTGTTATCAGGCATGGTCCTATCGGCTACGAAATCGGCGAGTACCTGGGACTTGATGGCTGTTCGTGGCACGAAGTGGATATCAAATTGGCTTAGCTCGACTACCCATTTCGCAATGCGGCCTACAACGTCTTTGTTTCTCACGACTTCACCGAGAGGGAAGGAGGAGACAACTGTAACCCTGTAGGCTTGGAAGTAGTGGCGTAGATTTCTTGATGTCATGATTACCATGTAGAGCAGTTTTTGGATCTGTGGATATCTTGTTTTTGCATCGTGGAGAGCTTCGCTGACATAGTAGATTGGTCATTGCACCTTCTCTCTCTCGACAACAATGACAGTGCTAACGGAATATGGCGTGGCGGCAATATAGAGAAATAATTCTTCATTAGGTTGGGGAGCAACAAGTAGAGGTGGATT